CCTCGATTCGAGATATGATCTCATCCTTGGTATGGCGTGGCTGGAACGCCACGAGCCTTGGATCGATTGGAGGTCGAAGACCCTTGGTGCTACGCACTTCTCTCCTGGCGAAGCATTGGCGAGTCATGAACCCACCTCTGCTAGGAAGCAGAAGCGCTTCTGGCGCGAGCACTGGACCGAGTCGGTCAATGTGCTGGACATCGGAGTCTCCGAGTTGGTGGAGTGTCGGGAACGAGCGTTCCGAGCGTGGCTCGCGGACGGCAGGTGGAGCGGCACGAATTCCGCTGAGCGGGTGTGCGTATGAGGGCGACGCCCTGCTGCGTGCCAGCGACGGCGCGATCGGCACAATGCCGAAGAACAAGGGGCGTCGCCCGGATGAAGATCGTGGAGTGGCACGTAATCCACTGAGTGGAGGCTGCGGATCGTGCAGCTCTTCGCTGAGTGTCGGTAAAGACCCTGGAGCTCCCTTGGAGCTGAACGAGGTAGTGACACCTGGCGTCAAGACGCGCGCGAAATCACGGAGCTCTTCAGGGCGGACGGGTCCATGAAGAGGAGGCAGCGCCTCAAAGCGCTGGCTGCGAGACGCAAGGCGTCTGCGATCTCACGAGTCGAGAAGGGCGTGTCGAGCGGTGAGGCTCCACGCGAGAGCGAGCAGCTCTATACACTCGTGAATGGAGTGACGGGCGACGTTGACGGAGATATCAACCTCGACGACATGCCCTCACTGTCTGCTCTCCTGGAGCTGGACGAGATGTCCTTGGCCGAGTTCGGCGAAGCCTTGAAGGCTGGAGACTTGGCTGAGGTAGTGGTCATACGACCCGAAGAAGAGTTGAACTCGTCCTCGCTTCTGGATGAAGCTGTCCTGGAAGACACCAAGAAGGCGCCGAATGCGCGGAGCGGATCGGCGATCCTGAAGGACCCGTCGGATCCCTTGTATCAAGTGGTAAAGGATTACCAGGATGTGGTCTCGAAGGAGCTGCCCTCGGGGCTACCTCCGGATCGAGGTGTTCGACACGAAATCGATCTCGTCCCGGGAACGAAGTACTGCGTGACGAGGCAGTGGCCCTTGCCGAAGGAGCAGTGTGACGTCATTGACGCGTTTTTCCGTGCGAAGCGCGAGGCGGGCATGGTGCGTGAGAGTAAGTCTCCACACTCTACGCCGACATTCTGTGTCAGAAAGCCGAATGGCAAGTGGCGTACCGTGCATGCTTTCAACAAGCTGAATGCCGCTACCATTCCGGCGCAGACGCCGATTCCTCGGAAGGATGTTCTTCAGAACAACATGACAGGATGTACGATGTACAGTGCGCTCGACTTGGTCGATGGATATTACCTATTGCTCGTGAGGACGAGCGACATTCCTCTCACTGCGGTGAGTACTCCGAGCGGCATGCTCTGGGAGCGGTTGGTGATGCCCCAAGGGCTTTCGAACGCGCCAGCGACGTTTAATCGTCTTGTGACGCAGCTCTTCAGGCCCCATCGGGCGTACGCGCAAACGTACTTCGATGACATCTTTGTCCACAGTCGTGCTGAGCACGGAAAGGCTGATATGGAGAACCATGTGGAGCACCTGCGTGCTGTGCTCGAATGCATGTGTCAAATCAAGCTGTACGCCAACATTGACAAATGCATCTTCGGAGCGGAAGAGATCCCCTTCTTAGGGTGCTTCATCGGGAAGCGTGGCCTGAGGGCCGACCCGGTCAAGGTCAAGGCCATTATTGACTGGCCGGTTCCCAAGAACCAGAAGGATCTTCGCAAGTGGCTTGGCTTGGCCAACTACTTGCACAAGTACAGCGAGAACTACGCTGAGATGGCTCGGCCACTCTCCAATCTCCTGAAGAAGGATGCTGAGTGGTGTTGGGACACCTAGCATCAAGATGCGTTTGCTGCAATTAAGGACAGTCTCCTTCATGTGCCTATTCTTGCTCTGCCAGACCCCGCTCGTCCGTTTAGTGTCGTCGGTGACGCCTCGGACTTTGCCATCGGCTGTGCCCTGCTGCAAGCAGACGCCGAGGGGAGCGAGCGTGTGGTGGCGTTCGAATCTCGCCAGCAGAAGGCTGCGGAGAAGAACTATCCTGTCCACGACAAGGGGCGACTTGCAATGAAGTATGCGCTCACCTGTTGGGCTCTCAGCCGTTCGTGATTTACACGGATCATGCGTCGTTACGCACTGCGACTCAGTCGCCTCATCTCTCGCAAAGGATGGCTCGCTGGCTGTTCTTCTTCGCGGAGTCCAACTTCGAGGTGAAGTACAAGCCTGGCAGGCAGAATGTCCTTGCGGACGCGCTGTCGCGCAGGCCGGATTATGAGCTGGCTCATGTAACGACCGTGACTTCGTCATTACCGGATCGGATCCGAACGGCTTATGCCAAGGATGACACTTGTGTCGCGTTGCTGAAGGCTCTGACGAGCAAGGAGTTTCAAGACTCGGACATGGAATTGTTAGCGCGCGATGGAGGCCTGTTGTTCTACAACACCGGTCCCGAGGATACGCCCCGCGTGGTCATCCCTCATGATAAGGATCTCAAGTATCGCATCCTCTATGAGGCACACGACACGCCACTGGCCGGCCATCTTGGCCGTGAGAAGATCTACAGCTCGGTGAGCACCCACTACTGGTGGCCGAAGATGTACAAGTGGACGAGCACTTATGTGCGCACGTGCGAGACGTGTCAGCGAGTGAAGGCGTCACCTCATGCTGCAGCGCCGTTGGCGAGTTTGCCTGTCCCTTCGGGCAGCTGGCAATCCATGAGTATGGACTTTGTGTTTGGCCTGCCGGTAGACGCGGCGAGCAACACAGGACTCGTGGTCTTCGTGGACCTACTGAGCAAGATGGCTCACATTGCGGCTGTGCCGGATACCATCGATGGTAAAGGTACAGCAACGTTGTTCTTGGACCGAGTGTTCCGACAACACGGACTCCCTGAGTCGATTGTCTCGCACCAAGACCCCCGCTTTACGGGCAACTTCTAGAGCGCGGTCTTTGCGGTGCTTGGCACCAAGCTGGACATGTCCACGGCGGACCACCCGCAGACCGATGGTCAGACCGAGCGCGTAAATCGCGTCGTCGAGGACGTGCTCCGCAGCATTTGCGCCGAGACGCCGAAGCGCTGGAGCGCCATGCTGCCACTCGTTGAGTTTGCCTTGAACAACGCCGTGCACGCCTCGACAGGCTACACGCCGTTCTACGTGAACAGCTTGTCTCATCCCCGCGTCCCGCTGACGCCGCCACGTGGTGGCCTCGGGCTTGGTGGGGGAGGAGAAGCCAATTTAGCTGATCGGCTAGCCGATGTCAGCCCGGCTACTGTTCGTAAACAGGTTGACGCTATCTTGTCGACGCGTCTGAGTGTCTTACGACATGTGCGTGACCCAATGGCTGAGAGCCAAGACAAGCAAAAGGAACATGCAGATGCTAGGGGCAGAGGCAATGTTGAAGGTTATGAGGTCGGGGACCTGGTGCTGCTTAACGCTAAGAACCTACCTACACATGCAGTGCCAGCCGTCTTCAAGACGAAGTTGCGCCAGCGCTTCATCGGACCCTTCAAAGTTGTGGCCAAGAAGGGCCTTGCGTACACGCTCAATCTTCCGAAGAAGATGCGGACGCACCCCGTCTTCTACGTGGGCTTGCTCAAGCCGTACCAGGACCCGATGCAGGTGCAGATGGAGGCACCGAGGGTGACGAGGTCACAGGCGCGGAGATCGCAGTCGTCGAGGACGCGACCATCAACATGGGCACCGCAGGAACAGGCGGAAGAATCGGTGCCGGAGGTACCGCGAGCACAGCGAGAGCCGCAGGCGCAGGAGGCACAGCAGTCGGAGCCTGCATGCGGGCCAGGAGGTCGAGCTGACCCTGAAGCACAGCCTGCTGACGTTGTAGCTCCCCGAGCTCCCGGCCACGCTGCTCATCGCGATCGCGATAGTATCGCACCCAGCCCTCCAGGGCCCCATGGCGGTCCCAGACCTCTCGAGGCACCTCGATCCATCGCGTCCGCTCGGCGAGCTGGTCGGGTTCAATGGCAGTCCGGCTCAGACGCGCATCAACGTCATGGATGTGATCCCGAAGGCGGCCCGCCTGCTGCCGCGCCTCCAAGAGCTCATCTTGAGTCGCAAAGGTCCCCACAGCGGCCTCCACCGGCTCTGCTCGATGAGCATGGGAATCTACATTACCATGTGGAGCGCATCCTGGTGAAGCGGCGGTGCCGGGGTCAAAACCAGTATATGGTGAAATGGCGAGGGTACCCTCACTCCGAGAACTCATGGGAGTTTGAGGTGCCCCTCCGCCAAGACTGACCAGACGTCGTGGACGCTTTTGATCAGCTTGATCACCAGCGCCCCGAGGGCTCAAGGCCGGCACGCCGGCCGTCCCGCGCTTCCCGGCAATAAGCTGGGGAGATGCTGGGTCAGCTCCGAGGTTGACCCTGAGCCACAGCGCTCACTCCCTCGCGGGAAGGAGCGGCTGGAGTGCTCAAAGGAGCGAAGCGCGCAGCGCTAAACTGGGTCTGTGGTTGGGCGAGTGCCAAGAGGCTACGCTTGGCTCGGACCTTCGCGAAATCGAAGCGGAGCTTGCGTTCAATGCGAACATCCACTTCACTGAAGCTGGCTCGGAGAGCATCCATGGAGCTGAGCTTTCGGCTGGGCTCGGCCCAAGACTCGAACTGAGCTTCGTACTCAATTGAGGCTTCCCCCGGGCTAAGTACCACCGGGTACGTCCGCACGGGCACGGACTTCTGCTGGGCTTGCAGCCACAGCCTCTCGCGATACTCCGCGACAGTCGTAGACTGTGGAGTGAGGTGCCGCTCTCGCAGAGACGTACGCAGTGCAAGCTCCTCCGGAGTACGGGCCGCGGGCCCAATGGCGTGCAGCGCGAGAGACTGCTGGAACGCCTAGCGACAAGCCTCCGCGGGGTCGCGAGGCCGGAAGCCGTAGTCGGCAGTGCTGGGGTTCAGCAGAGGCCGCAGCTCGGGGCGCTGGGAGCGCATGGGAGCCATCTGCGCAGCAACCTACTCGGACTGAGCCTCGTCCAAAGGGTTGGAGATGACGGGGCCCAGGGGCACGTCCTCGCCACGAGGCGGTGAGTACCGTGGCTCAGTGAGCGCGCGCAGCTCGTAGAGACCAGACGAGCGTTCGGGGAACGGATTCGGAGTGCGCAGCGGTGGTCGCGGCTCCTCCCTCGATGGCGCAGTGCGCTCAGTGGCGAGACGGCTCGGGGAGCGCACAGGAGACGTGTGCGCGGGACGCTCTTGATCGCGACGGCTCGGAGAGCCACCTGGGGCCGGCGAGCCTTCTGCACGGCGTGTCGACGGTGTGGGCGAAGCGTCGCCACGGCTCGGGGAGCGTCGCGTGGGTGGGGACGCATCTCCTCGGTTGGGAGAACGCTCCATGGACTCGTCCACCTCGCCCTCTTCACCAAAGAGTTCCCTAGGGTCCATGATCTGGCGGGTTGGTGCTCGAGGAGAGCTGGGGCTTGCGCGCTGCGAGCTGCGCTTCAGGCGTTGCGCCGCGAAGTACTCGGACACCGAGAGCCTGGAAGGCGTCGAGGGTGTGCGCGCGGGCGCTGGCGTTCGCGGAGGTGCCGAGGCACGCAGTGCAGCAGCACGAGAGGAAAACGAAGACGTAAGTAGTGAGAATCGGCCAAGGGTAAACCCACGGCAGTAGGGTTGTTAGGACTCGGAAGTTACCCAGTTGTCCAATATACCTCATCATCATCATTCATACGATTTCCGTATACAACTACGGCAACGAAGATAATTGTAGAGATATTGCGGCCGATAGCTACCTCGCATGATGCTATCATGCAAAATACATAGTTTTAGGCCTGAGAGGCATATGACGAACAATAGCGATTGAGATTTACTACACAGACGAGTAACAAATGTAATAGGCTTTCATCGGCTTGCTATTTAGATGGTTTCATATAGCTTGGAGCGACTTATAAGAAATTCTAAACAAGTAAACATGCATGTGTATTTATCGCGGACTAGCGTCCGTTCCTAGAAACTACCGTAGTAGGTACTGAATGTGCAGCGCATGAGATGCAAGCGGTGGGCGTCCTCGTGGGAGGTGGAAGGGAACGTGCTCTTCAGGGGGTGGATACGTCTCATGCAACAACGAGGTTAAACCATTTTGCTGAAGGTGTGCCGGCGGCGATATTAGAATGGCATCTGAAGGAACGGACAGTGCCAAACCGTCAAAGTCTGTGTTCTGCGGAGGCAGTCCGGTCACGCTCATCTGGACACCGGTTACTTGATCGAAGCTGAAGGTCCTGGCCCCAATGTGGTTGCTGGCATCCCAAACACTCGCGCTCGTCAAGGGTGAGCTATCTACATTATAGACATTGGCCGCATGATTGTGTAGAAACTCCTGCGCGGTTGAGCTGACAAGTCAATTCTGCTCCAATGGACTAGAATCGATCACCGAATCTGTGCTGGGACCCACCGACTCGAATGGAGCCAAGGGCGCGCTCCGTAGCAGGGGCGGAACCCTGGCTTTGGGGTCACGTTGACAGGTACGGCGAATCCGTCGGTTCTTGAACTTAAGGTGCTGACCTCCAACACCTGGAACACTTAAACCGAACGCGACACGGCCGCAGATCACGTGGGCGCACGATAAAACGTTTGTGAAGTAGGGGCACATGCACTCGAACGTGTTAATTCGCACTACCCATCCACCCGGCGGCATACCCAGATGGTGAACCCGTCGGACAGACAACTTTACAGCGAAGCGATAAAACGTGGCCGCCGACCTTTTCTCAGCGTCCGTCAAGCAGCCTTCTGAGAGAATTATCCCACTGGCCTGAGTTACAGGAGCCTGTGAACCTCCAATGCCCGTAACTTCTTCAATATGGTCATCGTCGATTATTCCATCGCCTAGGTACTGGACTCGTACGATAGACTGCTCACCCGTATTGAAAACAGCAACACGCTGCGATGAAACGAGGACATTCGCAAGCGTTTTAGCCTCTTGAGGTGGGGGTGGGCGCGCGGACGTAGTACTAGGCTGAACACAGATTGAGGTGCCTTCCGCGATAGCAAGAAGTTTAAGTATAAGGCGCCGTGTATCCATAGCCTTGCGGAGCGTGAAACGCTTGATACTTGCGTTAAAAACTTCACATAGATTGTTCGTCGTTGCGAATCCACCAGGAGAATGGAAGATCTGCCATCGCCAAAATCTGCTACTAAGTCATTGAGAATCGAAATACTCAATAAAACTCCACAGCCGATTGTCACCTTTCCACTCACTAGACACGCGAGCCCACACCGTCATTAACTTGCTCTGACTAGTTGTGTAGTGCATGTCAAGAATGCCACGGTAAACTACTCCACGAACGGCATCAGGTAGATGCCGGATGCGCTTCCGCACGTTGTACAGCACGTGAAAAACACACATCAAATAGGTGGCGGCTTCAAACCCCGTAATAGTTTGAAGCGCATTGAGCTGGGCGGCCTCTGCGTCCCCCATGACCGCGTCAATTCTGAGTCTCGTTTTCATGTGCATCTGAAAAACCTTGGAGAAAGTTGCAATCGCCTCGTAGTACTCGCTCTGTGTTCTTTGACTTACAATGAATAAAGCGGCGAGTCGGTAAATGCGATGCTTGTCAGTGAAGCCACAGGTAATGACAGGGTAGCCAAGGTCGCTCAGCTTGAAGGTAGCGTCCAAATGGAAAATCAGAAACTGTTCTTGAAGTTGAAGTGCCTTTATCTTTTCCATAAGCTTTAGTGTCGTAATTCCCAAAATCAAAAAGGTTTGTCATCTTCTCCATTGCCCACAAAAGGGAATCCATCTTGACCTTCACGATTTCCAAAAACGAAAGCTGTGTCGGGATCTATATCTGCCACGAACGCCTTTGACCGTACCAGCTCCGTAGTGCGAACAATCGAGTTTTTCGTTCCTTGAAGCCATGTATGCTTCACACTGCGCTGAACTTGGGTGTAGGACGGGTATCCTAGAACTGGCTTAGGCACGTCGGGTGCGCGCAGTAAGTTGCTCCAGATGAGCCGAGGGGGTACAGCGTTCTCGTCCATGCGATGAATGTATTCTTTCATCTTCTCCGTAACCTTAGGCCTAGGTGGTACCGCGCATTCCATCTCTCCACGAAAACGAGTTGCTCTATTGCTCAGAATGATCCACTTTGACGCTAATGGGCAATGACGAACTTTTCAGCTTGTCGGGCACTTCACCGTCCCCGTGCTGCTCTCACAGGATTCGCTACGGCAGCGCAGTCGGCGCTCCTCCATATCGTGTTCCCCAGGGCAGATGATGCACGGGCGATCCCTTGTGGCACAAACAGCCGAACAGCAAAAAAGCTTCCCAGCGAAATTTCACGTATTCATCCTCATTACAGCACTCTCTTAGTTTTGTGCAGTCTAGCGGCGGGGGCATCGCACTTGGGTAGGGCGGCAACGCCGGGTAGCTTGAGAGGCCGCCTGGTGCTTGGTGTCGCCCGGAAGTGTCCGCTGAAACGATGACTGCAGCGGACAGGCAGCAGTGGCTATGGTATGACGCACCTGCATCACTCGGCATGCGAGAAAGGCCCTTATGTCTACTAGCCGCCAGTAATCTGTACACTGATGTACCATGCGGTGAGGTTTTGGATAGTGTTGTCGATTTGTGTATGCTGCTGATCTGTTCGTGTCTATTGATGTACCTTTATCTGTACATTCGCGACCAAGACTCGTCCTCGGGCGTGTCTGTGTTCGAGTACACCTTCATGCGGCCGTGCACGTCCACCCACTTCATCAGCTGCGCCAAGTCGCCGCTCAATGGCAGGCTTCTGCGGCTCCTGCTCGCACTTGATCACCCCGCCCGTCGAGTCGTTCACGCGGATGTAGTCGCCCTCGTGCAGCACCACCTCGGCGTCACTCGATGTGTGCACGCGTATTGTCTTGCTGTAGGCGTCGTTGGACCGTGCGCTGCAGCCGCACATACACGGCTTGCCCTAGCCCTAGCTGTGGCTGCATGCGACGTCATGCCGCCGTGAGACGTGAGGGTGCCCTTGGCCACTCTTCTTTGATCTTCCTCCTCACCTCAAGCCTCCTAACACAGTTCTTTGAACTGCGAATAAGAGAGAGAGATGGCGGCGTCAGGTATCCCTCCGTATTGATAGATTATGACGGGGATGGAAACACTTCAGCCGAAGTGTGGGCAAACAAAAATAAATAACCTAAAACATAATTGACCATTTGTGATCGACGTAAGTTTTTGCAAAGATTATTGTCAGCTCCAATGTCGTATTCCATTTAGCTGTGGTCGGGACTTCCTGTTAATTGGAGCGATTCCCGTAGGTTTTAAAAATCCAAAAATCATCTTAAAAGTGCGAAGAAAGGACAGGAATAAATCTTGTCGACCGATCACAGATCTGTAAGAGGGGTAATCCACCCCCTCTTTCAGATTTTGACACGTACTTTCTGGAATAAAAATAAGATTCAAAACGCTGCGGGAATCGCTCCATTATGGTCAAATTCCTTTATTAGATACGGTTCTTGTCGAGATCGACCCTTGTTGCTCCATTAGGGTTAAACGGGTATTGTAGAGTTGAACGCAAAAGACGCGTTTGTGAGATAAACCAACCCCTTCTAAATGTGCGGAGGCTGCCAAGTATCCAGTCTGATGCCACCATACCAGTCGCCCACGGAGTCGAGCAGGTTTCATTTGAATTAGCCCCTAGATAGGAGTTGTAGGAGTGTCGGACCACTTCATGGATGTTTGTTTTGGCTGTTCGGCTTTTTTATCGGTTCAAACCACTTCGATTGTGAAGTAGTTCATTCGGAATTAATCAAACCAATTGGGTTTGGTGTGTTTTAGGCAAGGATAGCTTCACGTATTGTACTGGCGAGATCAAATGCACCACCAAACTTTGACGAAGCGTATCTCAGCATCAAACAATCAGAATGATGTGAACTTTGTTTTGTTGGAAAGCTCTGCGCTTCCTCTTTTAAGTAAACTACGTTTGGACTTGAAGTCGCAGCGAATGAATGAGATATACCCAAATGAAAACTGACTGTCCCCCGGTTTCTCGAAAATATCGAGGCTATGTCGATTGCTCTTTTACAAACTTTAGTACTAATTTATTGCGCACTTTCTGTAACGCGTTTTATGCACATTATTGCTTGACGACGCCGCCACAGCCGGCGAGATCAACAGCGCCTAGAACACTTCCTACGCGGTTGGCGCTCATGAAACTACGTTTGTTTGATGAACCAGAAGCCGAGCTTCACCCTGACGTTTAGCTTTCTCGATTTATCATCTTCGTTTAGGAAATATGGCAAAAAATGTCGAGTGCAGATCAGACAAGCACGTCTTTCCCGCTGCAGAAATCGCCGGATGATGGATAAAATTAAGAAGTAGGATACTAACACCGTGCACCTACATTCTGCATGTTATGCTGTTTTCATTGCTGGTCTTCTTGCCTTTATACGCTAAGTACTTTTGAAATTATGGACAAATGAAAATTTTGGTGGTGCATTTCATCTCGCCAATACAATAGAGGTGAGGAGGTTTCTGCTGCCTTACATATATCCCAACCAAAGTCCTACAGCATGTGTGGTCTAACCGGCTGTACTGTACCGTATGATCTCCGCCAATCTCATGATAATATCGGGGCGTCGTTTTCACCGAATACTTCGCATGAAACAGGTAAATATATTAATAAGATAAGGTAGGTACCTCTGTATCACCTCAACTCAGGGGTAAGCTTACAGTAGATGTACTGTACTTGCTTCGGATATGGATACCACACGATGTCATGCGCTCAACGTTGGCGATGCTACTTTATTGTAATTAAAACGCAAATCTTTATCTGTTTTCCCGAGCTCACCTGGACCAACTTAGCCCCGACCTTCACATTGTGGTTTTCACAATTTGTGAACCACAAATATGGAAGCATTACTAATTAATAGTACCGGTAGTATAGGATGGAGCTGTGCCTAATGGATTTTTTTGCTTGACCACATGGGATGCCAGCTAGGATTTGGCTATTCTTCGGATACTGTACATTCTCTCACAGTCCCCACGCGACCGCACGACAGCCATCTTCAGTGCCGACTGTTGCCCTCGACAGTCAGTTGACCTTCAGCTTCAGCAGTAAGGCACGTAGACCAAGAACCAAGAATGCGTCGAAACTGCATTTTGTTGCTGCTCGTTGCCGTAGTGTCAGCAGTCTGTGGTGCGGTATCGGCTATCAGCAGTGATCAGACGAAGTCAGCCCTAGCTACCGGTAGTGGTGCTGCTCTTGAAGAGAACAACCTAGGCAGATTACTGCGGAGCCTCGAGAAAGTGGAGGATGACGTGGCTGACGAAGAGAGGGGCTTCCTCAGCGGGCTCAAGAAGGTGCTCGGCATAAAGGGGAAGAATCCCGACTTCGCCAAAAAGAATCTGAAGATGGCTCTGAAGGACCAGAATTCGAGGAACGAGCTATACAAGAAGTGGGAAGGCTACAGCGTGGGGGAGATCAAGGCCAACTTGAAACACACAGACATGTACCACCCGCGCGAGCACACACTGTTTTACGGCTACCTGAACAAGTACAAGAAGGCGGCGGAGACGGTGAAGCAACCGGCGGTGGCGCAAGGTAAGGCAAAGAAATCCGTCAAGTTCAAGCTGGATGAAGTCCAAGTACGCAGGTTCGATGACGAAGGGAATAAAATCGACGAAATAGTGCGTCTAGATGGCGCTGCGTAATAAGCCGCGAAAGTGAGCAGTAAAAGTATTTCAGTCCTGCAATTCATTACTTGGTATGCGAATTGGTTGTACCATGAATCGGGTGCATTGAACCACACCATTCGTACACAATATGCATTTGCACATTAACCACCCAGCAGCTCGGCTGGGCTGCATGACCCTCCGCTTGGCCCGCTTGTGCCGTCTCCCGCTGCGATCGTGGCGAGCCATGAGCGCTCCCTCCAACTTCAACAGCGTTTCCTCTACATCCACGTCTTTTTCCAGCTCTCACCGCCCCTCGGAGGGCTCAGGAATCGCTGAAAACCCTTTGGCGACGAAAGTCCGACGGCACCAGAGCCATTTACCAGGCGAGCAGCCGCTCCCAGACGCTAATAAGGAGTCGCAGAGCGGTGGAGATGACGACCGAGGAGGCCCCAGGACGCTGGACCAGCTGCAGCTGCGGGTTCTGTCCAAGGACGAGCACTTTGTGGTGCTCAACAAGGGGCCGGACGAGCGGATGGACGGCGAGTTCGACGTGACGCTCGAGAAGGCGGTGAGGCGATTGTTGCGGCTATTTGAGTTGACGCAAAGGTGCTGGGTACCTAAAATTGCTATGGGTCGTGTGGTCGCAGCTGGCGAGGGATTTCCCGGACGTCCCCAAATTCCGGTGGATCCACCAACTTGACTTTGGTACGCTGGGTGGGGAGGTTGGAACGGTGCCGTGGTCGTGATACTGATGCTTTGGTTGTGGTGCTCTCCGCGGTGTTGTTGTAGCAACGTCGGGTGTTTTGGTTGTGGGAGCTACGAAAGAGTGAGTGGAGGGCGATTAGGGAGCTGAAATTTGTCAATAGGCTGATGTTTGCGTTGAATGGTTGTATTGCAGAGCTACGGCGACGGGCTGTAGGCTTTTCCGCGAGAAGCAGGTGCAGAAGGAGTATCTAGCGGTGGTGCGGGGCCACCTGCCGTTCAACCCGGCGGATAGCGTCGACAGATCGGGTGTGCCTGCCAAGGCCTGCACCTTTTCGAAGCTGGGATTGTTGATTCAAGACATGGAGGAGATGGAGCGGCTCAGGAATCAGCAGCGCGGAACGAGGACTCACCAGAAAATGGCCGATTACCCGCGAGGAGCTCGTCATGGGCCAAATCTGTTCACAATGGAGCAAGCACGCTTGCTGCGTGAAAGCCAAGGTGGCCCCAGAGGGGAGGTGCGAGGCGCTGGTGCTGGAGCTGGCGCTCGTGAACTGACACCTGCGGAGTTGGCATTCACGAAGATGACGTGGCACGACTTGACCCAAGAGGAGAAGGACGCTTACACCGAAAAGGCCAAGGAAGACAAGCAGCGGTTCCTGCGTGAGTTCAGCGAATTTCTTAGCAACGAAAAGGTTCGGCTCGCTCGCAAGCGCAAATACGAGTGTCTCGATCCTGACAACAGCGAGGAAAAGAATGAGCCCGTTGCGTACATCTTCGACGCGCCGATCATCGAGCCTCATCGGAGTACCGGAGTTTTTCGAATGCAGGTGTGTACTGACACCAACACCACAGCGAAGCAGTCCACCACGATCGCGTTTGTATTGGGTCACGCAACGTACAAGGGCGACCCAGTTACCAAGGTGCTGCTACGCCCTCTGAATGGCCGTAGACACCAGCTGCGACTTCATTGTGCGCACCACGGCTTTCCGATCGCGGGTGACGTCACATACGGCTCACAGGAGGACGAAGCGCCACGCATGATGCTGCACGCCTGGAGGATTTGGCTTCGCGGACGACCTGCGGACCAGGTTTGTGTAGTTAAGGAGATAGCGGTGCTGAAGAAGTTATGCGGGGGCTGACGTGTACTTTGTGTTTGCTATGGTGTAGAAGAAGTTTGGCGATCTGTACTTCGAAAGTCCAGATCCGTTCGAGCCTATCGTGCCGAGCAAGCGTGAGGTGTGTACTATCACATACCACCAGCACAAGCAGGCAGAGGCTGATAAAGCAGCCGCAAACTCAAGTGCCTAGACATCCGAGAGCTGTAGTGGCTAGACTCCAGCTTCGTCCAACTGGTGAAGCACACTCACCACGTCCACAGTCGACGGATGTTCGGGTCCCTGTACCGTTATGTGCAGCACAAGGTGTGAGCGTTGCCAGCGCATGGTGTAACCCGTGAATAGCAGAGTAATAGAGCAAACTCACCAGTGCGTCGACGTAGATGTCCAGTGCCTGCTTCACGAAGGCCTTCGCCTGGCCGTGATCGCCCAGGAAGAGGAACAGCAGCCCCAGTGTGTACAGCACCTCGCCTGTAGCAACGTGTTTCGCTCCCAGCAAGTTCTGGCGGATATTGACGATCTGCTGCAGCATGGAGCTGGCTTCCTGGATCCGTAGACGCTGGTGCTCCAGCATCCAGGCGGCCGTGTCCTCCGGCGGGTTGGTCAGGAAGCGGTACCAGATATCCACCACCTTGTCGAGCATGGCCAGCGCGCTATCGTTCTGCTGGTTGCGCTGCTGCAACTCGCGTTGGTGTTGTGGTGACTCCTGCTGACCTTGAGCTTGAGCTTGAGCTTGGGCTTGTTGCTGCCGTACCGCAGCACGCTGCATCCGGTGGAAGGCCAGGCCGAGGCAGAAGTAGAGCTCCGAGGTGTACAGGTGGTCAGGGCCGAAGAGTAGCGAGCAGTGATAAGCTCCGTGTGCCGCTCGCTGTAAGCTTTCGGAGAACGCGCCGTACTCCAAGTGCAGCAGGCTGTAGAGCTTGTTCATGCGGATCACGAAGAGATTCTTCATCTCTTCGGGCAGCTCAGGCAGAGACACCGCCGCCCCCAAGAGGATCCCTGAAGAAATGGTGTCGGGGCCAGCCTTGCGATCCTTGACCAGCAGCCAATTCACGAGCGACAGGACCTCCTCAGCTGGCTTGAGCTGCCTCTCTCGAAGCGAGATGTCGACCAGGACGAGGTAAAAGGGCACGAGGCGCAGCGAGTTCTTCCCGTAAGTCTCGGTGGCCATCTTCAGCGCGGCCACCGCCTTCCCGTGAGCTGGTTTGAGCTGCCTCAGGAAGCACAACTCTTCGCTCTCACGGCGCATCTGCTCACATTGCTCATGAGCTGTAGGTGAACTCTCCGAGGTGTCGACGACTGCAGCATGCCGCTGAGGACAGCGAGGAACAGTCGAAGCCATGGATACGACCAAGCGTCGGGCTGACTTAAGTCGCAACGACTCTCCATTTTTTCTTGGAATTCGGTGCTTCACTCACGAATAAAAAGTCACGATTGATGGGCATGGCAACAATCGGTAAAAAAGATAAACGCGTAGAACTCTAGTTCAACCTATAGACCTTCAGGTCTTCTTACGATTGTAGCAAGGAGATCGCGAGGATCTACGCCGGGATCGCTGCTGCATTTGCTGCAGGGGCTGACCTATGTTTTGTGTCTTGGCCCCGCGAGCTGGGGTACTCGCTGGCCAATTCGACTGCGTCTTCTTCGACGACTAACCGCAAGTGAAGGTGGGGCCGGTGAGTCTCTTAACTAGTAGTTAGGTAGACAGGGAACTGTGTCACGCTAAGGGGTCTTTAATTTTATTTCTAGGTAGATCGCGCTGCTCTGACGACCGCAGATGGTGCGTATCAACAGTTTGTTCTAACGTCTTACTAAATTACGGTAATTGGTAGGTTTCTGCCCATTAAGCCGAACGATTTTGCTTTGCATCAACCGATTCGCATAGAGAGCGGGTAGAAACTAAAGATAAAAGCAGTGTTTCTACAGAGGGTGCTTCAAAACTACAGAGGGCACTACCAGTCCTACAGAGAGGTGGTGCAGGAATACAGAATTGCACTACTAAATACAGACGTGCCAAGCTGACGACTTTTGATTGGCTTTGTAACGGGGTTACATGGAATAGTGACCCTGTCACTATTCCGGGATGGCTGCATCGGTCACTCCACTGGATAGTGACCCAAGTGGCCTCAGAGCCAACAGATACATTTTGTATGACACAAACTATAGGGAACTTAGGATTTGTATGCAGGCCAAATCTGTACAGCCTATAAATACATTCAGTCTTAGATCTGCCTACAGACCAGGGACACGTGAACGGCTGTTCACTTGGAGTTTGTATACTCCTGCTTCCTCTGTTAAGAAGTGCTGTGTGCCCCGTCACACTTGGTAGCACTTGTAGTCAATCCTACGCCTTCGCGGGTAGATTGGACTACCTGAATCCTCTGTGGTCTCATCGAGTGAGCCAAGATGGATCGTACGGAGTTTCTCCATCTGAACGACTCGCAGTTCGAGTCCGTTCGTAAGATGGCAGGCATCTTTGGGACAGATGCCCTGCGTAGCTTAGCGGCGGCGACGCCGGCTGAGCAGGTTGAGCGTATCAACGCGTTCGACACCTACGAGCGAGGGCTCATCGCCCACGTTCAAGGGCTGCAGGCCACTGCGGCCGCGCCGAAGCCGGTGCAACCGAAGCCCCTGCGGCTGAAGGTTCACCCCTTCGAAGGGAAGGAAGGAGAAAACCTTCACTTCTGGGTTCGAGAGGTTGAGCTCGCGATGGACGCGGCTCTCGTCTCGGACGAGCGACTCCGTGTCGCCTTTGCGCTCTCCAACCTTAGTGGTCGCGCTAAGAGTTGGGCGTATACGCGCGAAGCGACGACGCCTGGATGCTTCGCATCATGGTCTCAGCTGTGCGAGCAGCTGCGGGCCGCGTTTCTTCCGGCGAACTACGAGTACCGGCAGCGTTCGCGCTTCCTCGCCTGCAAACAAGGAAGGCGGGAGCTGCATGAGTACATCCAGGAGATGCGAGTGCTCACTGCCTCTTTGGTGGAGAACCCCCTGCCTGAACACATCAAGGTGACCGTGTTCATGGACGGTCTGCGTGTCGGTCCTGCCCGCACGCAACTGTTCCGTGTGCAAGCAAACACTATGGAGGAGGCGATTCAGATCGCCCTCCAGGAGGAGTACAGCCACAAGCAGGCTCGTACCCCCGCCACGGTATGGCAGAGCAACCCTGCCTCTGGCGGTGCGCCTAATGGTAACTCCGGCAATGGAGCGATCCACGGGCCGGTTCCCATGGATCTGGGCATGGCCGAGCAGAGCGACATTCGCTGCTACGACTGTGGCAAGCTTGGGCACATGAAACGTGCTTGTCCCGCGGGAGGACTGAAGAAGAAGTTCTCTTCGAAGCCCTTTGGCTCTAGGGGTCGCTGGCAGAAGCCGCACCCAAGGAACCAGGGGAACGCCGGACACCAGTAGGGGCGGGGCGCCCTACTGGGGAAACACTAAGACTTCATGAGGGGCGTGCGGGTGGCGCACGCCATGGGGACTTAGCCCCTGAGAGGCTCTGTACTCTCGAAGCGGAGAAGGGCAGCGGTGGGCTGCTTGTGGTGCACGCGAGTGTACCGGGATACGATCATCCCTTGAGAATCTTGATGGACTCTGGGGCGTCCAACAACTTTGCGCGCCGCCAGACTGTCGCACGCAATCGCGACAAGTACGCCGATGCGCTACGAGGCAGTAAAGGCAACGGACTGGTCTCGGTAAGACTGGCCGACGGTACGGTGGTAGAAGTACCTCGGGTCCACATGGACCTCACTGGTAAGTTAGAGGACTTCGACAGCACGGAGCCGTTCTTGGTCCTAGACATGGACAAGTACGACTTGATCCTTGGCATGCCGTGGCTGGAGAAACACGAGCCTTGGATCGACTGGCGCGGCAAGGCCATCGGGTCCAGCCATCCCCCACGCTCTGACAGAGCTTTGGTGAGTCATGTTCCCACCTCTGGTAGCAGCTGGGGCGCCCGCGAGGGCCGCCAGGGCGCAGCAGCGTCTAATGAGTTCTTGGGGTCCGTCGAGACTGACGACGACTCCGACCGGGCCGGACAAGGCCTGAGAGTGGAGGTGCCGGACAGCACCTACCAGGTGGGTAACGTAGGTCTACACACGGGTAACGAAGTACCGCAGGCAGCAAGGGCTGCTGGAGAAGGCGCCGCTGGCGTTGGCGTAGGTAACCATGTTCCACGCGCGGTCACTCAGACCGTAACTGATGAGGAAGGCACTGCAGGCGCTTCTGATGTGGGTAACATAGGCCCACAGGAGGTCACTCAGACCATAACTGATGCGGGAGCCGCTGGAAGCGCTCCTGGTGTGGGTAACCAAGTTCCACACGGCGAGGTGGGTAACATAGTTCCACCCAGCAAGGCGGGTAACCAAGTTCCGCTCAAGAACAAGGCGGGTAACCAAGTTCCGCTCAAGGACAAGGCGGGTAACGTAGTTCCGCACGAGATCGAGAAGATCGGTGGTGCCGTCAAGGCGGCGCCACGAGACGAAGATACCCGAGGGTCACGTCGTAAGCCGGGCCTAGTCGTGTGGCCGACGACGCCAGTCGCCAGCGACTCCGAGCCTCCAGCCAAGGCTCCAGCCGCCGAAGAGTGTTATCACATCTTCGACGGCGTGACCGGTCGTCGGGTCAAGACAGGAGCTGTCGAGCTTACAGCTCTGCCCGAGGTTTCAGAGTTGCTGAACCTTGAGGAGCTCGCCATGGAGGACTTCTTGGCCGAGCTAAAGGCCGGGGAGATCGCAGAGTTGGTTCTCCTCCGACCGGATTCCACGTCGGCCGCGTTGAACTCGTCCTCGGTCATGGACCAGGCAGTCCTGGAGGAGTTCCAGAGACAGCGCCCGTCGCGCATGGACTCTGAGATTCTTAAGAACCCCCGGGACCCGGTGTACCCCTTGGTGAAGGAGTTCGAGGACGTGGTGTCCAAGGATCCACCGTCCAATCTCCCTCCGGACAGGGGAATCAGGCACGAGATCGATCTCGTGCCGGGCACGAAGTACTGTGTCACGAGGCAATGGGCTCTTCCCCGGGAGCAGTGTGAAGTCATTGATGCCTTCTTTGCCGCCAAGGCGAAGGCAGGCATGGTGCGGGAGTCGAAGTCCCCGCACTCGACGCCTACCTTCTGTGTTCGCAAACCGAACGGAATGTGGCGTCTGGTTCATGCTTATAACAAGCTGAACAGCGCGACAGTGCCTGCGCAGACACCGATCCCGCGCAAGGACGTGTTGCTCAACAACATGGCCGGCTGCACGCTGTATAGCGCGCTGGACCTGGTGGACGGATACTATGCGCGAGAGCGACATCCCACTCACGGCTGTGAGCACGCCGAGCGGTATGCTCTGGGAGTGGCTGGTCATGCCTCAGGGGCTTTCTAACGCCCCGGCAACGTTCAATCGCTTGGTCACACAACTGTTCCGACCTTTGCGTGCGTTCACACAGTCGTACTTTGACGGCATCCTCGTCCACAGCCGTGCCGAGGCAGGCCAGACGGCCATGGAGGTGATCTCCAGCACCTTCGACGTGTGTTCGAAGTCATGCGGGCGAACAAGCTGTACGCCAACATCGACAAGTGTGTGTTCGCAGCTGAGGAGATCAAGGTCCTGGGCTGCTTCGTCAGCAGCGCCGGGGTCCGGGCGGACCCGGAGAAGGTGAAAACCATCGCGGCTTGGCCGCCACCTCGGTCGCAGAAGGACCTACGACAGTGGTTGGGCCTCGCCAACTACCTGCACAAGTATAGTGCAGGCTACGCCGAGCTGGCACGGCCCTTGTCGGATCTCCTGAAGAAGGATGTCGACTGGCGCTGGGAGCGTCGCCATCAAGATGCTTTTAACGACATCAAAGCGAGCTTACAGCGCGCGCCAGTCCTGGCATTGCCGGACGAGACGAAGCCTTTCAGCGTAGTCTGTGATGCGTCTAACTACGCAATTGGCTGTGCGCTATTGCAGGCCGACGATGAAGGCCGCGAACGGGTCATCTCGTTCCAGTCCAGGCAGCTCAAGGCAGCCGAACGGAACTGTCCAGTCCACGACAAGGAGCTACTTGCCATGAAGTACGCTCTTGTCAAGTTCCGAGTGCACCTCCTGGGCTCGACGCCCTTTGTCGTTTATACAGACCACGCGTCCTTGCGGACTGCCGTCAACACGCCGCATCTCTCACAGCGGATGGCGCGTTGGCTGTCATTCTTCGCGGAATACAACTTCCGTGTCGAGTACAAGCCGGGCAAGTTGAACGTGCTTGCCGACGCGCTGTCGCGCCGACCCGACTACGAGCTTGCTCATATTAGTCGGGTCACGACGGATCTGTATGATCGCATCAGGCTGGGGTACCGAGACGATGCCAGTCTCGGACCTCTTGTGCGGTTCTTGGCCGCTGGCTCCGAAGCCAAGGCCGAGTGGCTCACGCCCCGACAACGTGCAAGGCTGCACCGCTATGAGTGGGTTGACGGTTTGCTCCACTATAGGGTCGAGCCCGAGGATCCTACCCGTATTGTCGTGCCCAACGACTAGGATCTCAAGTACGACATCCTGATGGAGGCGCTCGACGCTCCATCCAGTGGCCATCTCGGCCGTGAGAAGACGCACGCGTCTGTCTCGCAGATGTTTTGGTGGCGTCACATGTACAAGTGGGTCGCCACCTACGTCCGTACGTGCGAGACGTACCAGCGCGTGAAGCCTGCCGGTCACGCCTCGGCACCATTGCAGAGCCTGCTGGTCCCAGCGGACTGCTGGAAGTCGATGAGTCTCGACTTTGTCTTCGGACTTCCGGCCGATGACCGTGGCAACACTGGTGTTGTTGCCTTCGTGTGCCGTCTGAGCAAGATGGTCCACATTGCTCCAGTTCGTGACACCGTCACTGGCGACGAGGTCGCTCGCCTGTTCATGGACTGTGTCTTCCGACACCACGGTTTGCCCGAGACCATTGTTTCTGATCGAGACCCGCGGTTCACCGCTACGTTCTGGCAGACGCTGTTTCGCCTTCTCGGCACACGACTGTCGATGTCGACGGCGGACCACCCGCAGACGGATGGCCAGACGGAGCGCGTCAATCGCGTGCTCGAAGACACGCTCTGCAGTATCTGCGCGGAGATGCCCCGCTCTTGGGCTGATCGCTTGCCCATGGTTGAGTTCGCACTCAACAATGCGGTACATGCATCGACGGGCTTTACGCCCTTTTACCTGAACGGGTTGCGCCACCCTCAGGTGCCGCTCACATTACGAGGCAGTACCGGGGCTTCGGTCCTAAGTGGGGGAGAGGCTCGGAAAACCTTTTCCTCCCAAGTCTCGGACGTGAGTCCAGCCACCTTGCGGAAGCAACTGTCCTCGTTTGCCGAAGACAGTCTGAACATAATCAGCAGGGTGCGAGACACCATGGCGCAAGCCCAAGATAAACAGAAGGAGTACTCTGACCGAAATGGAAGAGGAAACATGAACGTGTTTAAGGTTGGGGATATAGTTCTCCTAGATACTAGAAACCTACCGCTAAACACTGTTAGCTCGGTCGAGAGCAACAAGCTGAAGCACCGCTTCATTGGACCCTTCACGGTCCTCAGCCGGCATGGCGCGGCGTACACCATAGACTTGCCCAAGTCGATGACGACTCACCCGACGTTTTACGTGGGTCGTGTTAAGAGGTATCATGACCCTCTGGCTCTGGCTGCCCCGCAGGAAGCGGTGGGTGGCCCGGTGGAGAAGAGCGCAGCTCCTCGAAGCGCGGCGTCGAGTCGCGGTAAGGCGCCTGATACGCGCGCTGGTCGTAAGATGGCGCGGCGTACATCGGAGCAGCATACGCAGGGGCCCCGTACGAGCCCTGGCCAAACTGGGTCTGATACGAGTGGGGCTGCTGCTGCTCCGGATACGGCGCGTGGCCATGAAGCTCGGCCCGAAGGCCAGCGAGCTGGTTTCGCAGCGAGTCGTAAGACGACAGGTCGGCTCGACGATCCACACGGCCATGGAGACTGCGAGTTTCTTGATAGAGCGAGGCAACATTCTCACGGAGCCGCTCCACGGCACCAGGCTGACCAGCACGAGCGGCAGCCTCGCCACCAAGACCGACACCAAGCGCGATCTCGAGGACGTACACACAGTACCGGAGAAGACGAATCTCCTCTTGCTGCAGGACCACCACCTAACTCGGGGCCCCAGCATACGGCTGCGTCGCCTCAGACTCGTAGCCATGGCCGTGTGAGGCCACCGCCGGTCCTCCTTGATCGTAATGGGCAGATCCACTACCACGTGGAACGAGTCGTCCGGGAGCGGCGGCTCCATGGCAAGCGCCAGCTGCTCGTGAAGTGGAGGGGTTACCCTGAGTCGGATAACTCGTGGGAGCCCGTTGAGCAGCTCCAGGCAGACTGCCCGAAGGCTGTTGCGATATGGGACGAGAAGCAGCGGCAGCTTCGTAAGTAGTCCTTGGCTTCTTGGCCGGTACCCGGGGCACGGTAGCAGACGTAGTCGCACCACGCCCTCGCTCTTCACGAGCTTTGGCTCTCGCCTCTTGCTTCAGCTCGGTCATCTTCGGGCGGAGCATGCGCTAGCTCACGTATTGAGCGAACTCGATGCGGAGCTCGCGGGTCCAGGATAGCGGACAGAGTGCGATCCTCACGGAGTTCTTTGAACTCTTGGTCGGAATACCCTTTGCGCTGGACGTAGCGCCAGAAGAGGTCTTCCACCACGCTCCAGGTCATGTTGTCATTCGGCTTGACCCAGTGGAAACCCCACACAGGATGGAGTCCACCCTTGTCCTTCGGCTTCTTGCGAAGCGTGGTGAACTCCTTCAGTGTGAGCTTGTGTGGTGCTAGTAGCACACACCGGGCGACTTCAACGTCGCCAAGAAAGAGTGGCTCTTTCTCAACAAGAGCACGCTCATAGGAACCCCTCGAGGTGTACCCGCCGATAAGGCCACGAGGAGCCGAGAGCTTCTCCAACAGCGCTGGCGCACCAGTGCCAGGCTCGGGCGGGAAGTAGCCCTGCGGGAACGTGGCATCCCCGCCTGAAGAAGACTCGATGGCAGTCGTGGCAGTCGGCTGCCTGGCATACGCACCCGAGCTAGCAGCGTGGTATTGCTGCTGCTGCTCGTCGAGGTTGTTGGAGAGCTCCTTGGGCTCGTGGACGGCACCCTCCTCGTCCTCAGACTCCGAGTCGATGAACAGCTTGGAGCTGGAGCCGCGAGGCGACCTGGAAGCTGAACGCTTCTTCGCCTTGGCCTCGGCGGCCTTCGCAGCGGCAGCCGCTTTCGATGCTTGGGCACGCTCACGACCTTGTGCCAGCGTCAGATGCTTGGATGCCAGCACCTCCTTGGGCTTGGAGCCCGCGTCGCTCGGCGACTTCTCGGCCACGACCCCAGCGTCGGCCATGGCGACTTCGTCGTGCGACTGCTTGCTGTCGCCTGAGCCGGACTCGGCGTCCTCCGCATCCTTCTCTGACGAGGCCTTTGCGTCGGCCGAGACGTTGGTCATGTCGCCTGCCGCCAGCTCCGTGCCTTCGGCAGCGTGCGTGCTACGTTCTCGTCGTCGGGTGAACTCTCACCGGAGTACTGGACCATCGTGCAGTCAAAGACGGCGGCTTCCCAGTCGCGAGCCGGGCTTTTATGGCCCCGAGGACTCTCCTCCTTGCCTTGCGCGGCGTCAGGAGACTTGCTCCGAGCCCCGGCCTAACGGCCACTCTCCGGCGTGCTGCTACGTGAGCGCACCACCTCCTCGGCCGCCTTCGTGGCCTCCATCAGCGCGGACGACTCGTCCTTGGCCTTGGCCGCCCTGGTCTTCGGCCCTACGGCTTGCGGTTTCGGAGGTGCTTTCGCACTGCGCGCACTGCGCTTTGGAGGCATGCTTCCGGTCGACGTGGAGACCCTGCGGCTTGCTCGGCGATGCGCCAGTTGCTCTGTGAGGCCCGGGGGCCGATGCGCCAGAGCTCGCGCCGTTGTCGATGGATTTCGACTTTGCGAGTGAAATGTGAGTCGCCGGCGTAACCTCGCTCTGATTGGTCGATAAGATCGAATCTAAGTGGGGGAGGATGTAACGGGGTTACATGGAATAGTGACCCTGTCACTATTCCGGGATGGCTGCATCGGTCACTCCCCTGGATAGTGACCCAAGTGGCCTCAGAGCCAACAGATACATTTTGTATGACACAAACTATAGGGAACTTAAGAATTGTATGCAGGCCAAATCTGTACCAACCTATAAACACATTCAGTCTTAGATCTACCGCTTTTCAAGTCAAGCCGTCCCCTTCAGACCAGGGACACGTGAACGGCTGTTCACTTGGAGTTTGTATACTCCTGCTTCCTCTGTTAAGAAGTGTTGTGCCCCGTCACAGGTTTCGACCCACAATATTCCTAATGGTGCTTCACCTGATTGTTTGTATCTACTGGCACTGCTGACGCCGAAATCTTCATTAGCCCAAACACATTTTGGACCGAGGAAAGATCTTTTAACAGGAAGAAGTGCTGTCTTGGGGGAGGGCGTGCGGAACTAAGAGTGCCGCCCCCGCACTGCGGGGCCCGCAGTTCAGGCGGATGGAAGCTTCGCGAAGCCTCCACAGCCGCCCTACATCTGCATATATATATTAACTTGGTTTCACTATACCTACGGTGAGTCGTACCTACACTGACCTCCTATTGGCTTACCTGTCTACCAATCAGATACACTCACCCCTTCTCTGGCTGCGCGCCCTTCCGACTTGTCATTCCCGAAAAAGACAGAGAGCTGCGACGCGTCCGGCTGTCGCCTGAGGAATTAGTCCGACCTCGCTTCTCCTTCGCCTCGGCCTGGTTGTTGGAGGCTTGGATTGGTTCCTTGGGCCGATGGTTGTATCGCTAGCGGTTTCTACTGCTGCCGGAATGCACTCTCCTGCTTCCGCGCGTTCTGCCTCACCTCCAGCGACGGCCGATCATGATGTTGAGGCTCCGCCGTCTGCGTCGCCTCTGGCGACCGCAAATCTCGATGTCCGTCCATGCTTCCACCTGGCGCCGCCACGCCGGTCGCGCCGGCAGACTCTGAATGCGCCGCCGCGCTCGCGCAGATTGTCGATGTTGTGGCCGCTGCTGGTGAAGACAGCGATGCTGACTCCGGTCTTGACGAAGAGATGGTGCGTGTGTGGGAAGAATTAGAGCTCACCAGTCGCTCTCCCGGTCTTGGCTCTCCAGATTCGGGCTCGGCGCCCCCGGCGCCGCCGCCTGCGTCGCCAGCGCCGCGTGAGGTTGTTGCTTCGGCTGGTGGTTTTTCTCCATCTACGCGCCTCCAGGAGTTGATCTTCATGCTCGATGTGGAGGGGTTGTCTGTCGAGGAGGCGATAGCTGCTGAGCCTGCGCTTGGGGCGACATTTGAGGCCTCGCCTGAAGATGAATCCGGGCTTTTCGATGATAGTGACGACGATGAAGGCCTGCCTCAGGTTGACCGCTCGCGCTTGCGTCGCGGTGATGAGACTTCGACGTGACATCCGATGCGGCTTCCTCCGGCGCCCAAGAAGCACCCGTCGAACAACCGCAAGAACCACTACGACCCGAAGAAGCCTTGGGATTACAACACTGAGGTTGACATCGTCCGTGCCTTGGATGTCAGGGGCAAGGCTCCGCACCGTTGCTACGTGGTGGAATGGGAAGGCAATCCGCTACAGCTAAGCTGGGTCTGGATGGAGCAGCTCGACAAACCGTCGACGCGCTACATGATGAGGATGGTGGACGCTTGGAAGGAATCGGGAGACAGGCGCACCTTCTGTTATTGGTACTCGGAGCGTGATTCCACGTCGGAGGCTGGTACTTGTTTCATGGATGCTTTCCGCTCGGCCTTGTACTATCTCGGACAGCCGGATCTGGTCACAATGGAGATGTGGGATGCACGCGACCTGAAGCCATCCAGTACGGTGTGTCTCGCGACGACGTGACGGAGTTCTTCAAGGTTCTGCAGCGCAAGAGTGTGCCACTGAACTACGACGTCCTTCTCCGAAACGCTCTTCCAGAGTCAAGTGCCAACATCACGACGCTCCAAGATGTTTGCCGCAAACAAGCACCCGGTGTTTACGTCATCAGCGCTGGCCGCAATGATGTCGGGCACTGATTTGTCATGGTTAACCGTGGTCCGGAGAAGCAACTTCTGGCTCTTGACAATTTCAATGCCCGCAAGAACCCGCCGGTAGACGTTCTTCCTCTGAGTTACCAGCAGTGGATTCAGCACGTGAAATGGATGGTGCAAGTGGAGCTGCAACCAGGATACAAGTGTCGCCACGGCAAGCCAAGTCGAAGACACAGAAAAAGCGGGAGAAGCGCATGAAACAGCAGGTTCTGCAACAAGAGGGAATGTAATACGGGATTACATGTAGGCCTTTGAGCCCCCCTTCAGCGGATCCTGCTTCACCGTTTTCGACGCTTTTTTCGCCTTGCAGATTCAAATTCCGCGATGAGATCTGGGACTTGCGACAAGTTCTCCACTGGTTCCCAGGTTTGTTTCTCCTCGCCCACCCACTCCACAAGATATTGGATCCGCTGTTTTCGCGTTCGCTTTCCACGTAATGCCTTGACGATCTGGCCAATGCTGCCGTCCGCTAAGATTACGTCGCTTGGCCTCGACAAGCGAGTCGGCTCCTTGTACGGCTTCAATGACGCAGTGTTGAAGACGGGATGCAGCTTGTTGCCAGCCTGGATGTTGAGCTCGTACGCGTGGTTATGAATCTTCCGCACCACGGTGTACGGTCCAATCCACTTGGGTCCGCACTTGGTGGAGTTGGGCAAGCCGGAGTGCTTCGGGTCCAGATTCTTCGTGCTCAAGTAGATCCTGTCACCAACTTCGAAGATCTGCTTAACACTGTTTCGGTCGTAGACGTCGCGCATCCGTTCTTGGGCCTGAGCTAACGCTTCGCGACAGCGTAAAAGAATCGCCGCCTGTCGCTCGTGAAACTCTGCTCCGGGTCGACTCTTGGGAACACTCTCAAGTTGCTCGGATGCAAGTTGAAGTGGATTCAGCGGAATGTAGCCCAGCTCGTTTATTTTACGAACGGCGCAAGCTTCGTGCTGGAGTTGACAGTCGAGTTGACAGCGAACTCAGCGTTGGCGAGATGGACGTCCCAGTCATCTTGTAGTGGACCGACGAAGCACCGAAGATACTCTTCCCAGGTTCGGTTCATGCGCTCCGTTTGTCCGTCACCTTGAGCGCGATGTGCAACGGTCATGTTTAGCTTCGTCCCGATGGACTTGAAGACATGCTGCCAGAAGGTGGACATGAACTTCCTGTCGCGGTCGGAGACGATATTCGTCGGCATGCCGTGTAACTTCCAGATGTTGTCGATGAAGAGTCGAGCAACACCTTCGGCGTTCACCTTCTTGGTGGTTGGCACGAAATAACACCGCTTGGTCAACCGATCGACGACGACCCAAATAGAGTCGACGTCCCGCTCCGTTCGCGGCAGATCAGTGATGAAGTCCATGGAGATGGATCTCCAACGTTCGTCTGGAATGCTGAGTGGCTCGAGCAACCCAGGAGGTTTCGTCAACCGCGGCTTGTTCCTCCGACAAGGCTCGCAGTCGGCGATAAACTTCTGGATGGACTTCAACATCTTTGACCAGTACCAATGGCGCGCCAGTGTCAAGTACGTACGTTCCGCACCGGGATGGCCTCCGTAGTTGGTGTCGTGGCACTCGCTGATAATTGTCTGTCGCAACTTCACATCGTTGGGCACGACAATCCGTGGAGCGTCATCTGCAGGTGTTTGATACCACAGTAACCCGTTCGCTTCGGAATAGCAGCGGTATTTCTTGTGCTGCTGGTGTTCGCGCTTTGGTTTTGAGTCGGATTTGCGTCGCTTGATTGCTGTCAAGATTGCTTGGACATCACGATCTTTCTTGTACGCTTTCTTGATGCGCGTAATCAGCTCCGAGTCACACGTTACTTCGCTGATCGCGAGACGGAAGGATGTGTCGTCGAAGCTGGTCACCCGTAAGTCGTGGAAGAACTTTGTCTCCGGCTGTAAGTCTGACCTTCGACTCAACGCGTCTGCGATGCCGTTCTTCGCCCCGGGAAGGTACGAGAACGTCGGCTGGTATTCCGCAAGGATGTCGTACCAGCGAGCGAGCCGACGGTTGGCCATCTTCTGGGTGAACAGCCCTTCAAGACTTTTGTGATCTGTCTCGACGATGGGTGGTTTGTCCAGGCAGTAGATCCGAAACGCTGCCAGCGCATGAACGATCGCTAGTAGCTCCTGCTGCTGAGTCGGATAGTTGAGCTCCGCCGACTTCATCTTTCGGCTTGTGTACGCTATCGGGCGCTCAACTCCGTCCACCACTTGAAAAAGGACTCCACCGACAGCAAACTTGCTTGCGTCGGTACGCAGATGCATGGGGCTGCTGAAATATGGCAAGTGCAATACTAGCGGGTTGCACAGGCGCCGCTTCAACTCCTTGAAGTTCTTCAGCTGCTCGTCGCTGAGATGAATCTTGGCGTTCCGCTTGTTCTTCTTCTTCAAGAGCGCAAACATGGAGGCTGTCAGAGATGCGTACTCTGGACAGAATCGCTGGACGTAACCTGTCAAGCCAAGGAAGCTGCGAAGCTCTTCTTGCGTCCGTGGTACAGGCCAGTCCTTGATGGTCTGTACCTTGTCTGGATCCATCCGAACTCCATTTCGCCCTACAAAATCTCCGAGACACGGGATCTCGTCGGAGCAGAAGACACACTTGGACAGCTTGACGTACAACTTGTTATCACGCAAGATGTCAAGTGTTTTCCGCGGAGCGCCCAGATGGTCCTCGATCTTCGTTGACTTGGTGAAAACATAGATGTCATCGTAGAACGACTTCGTGTTCTTCAAGTCTCGAAAGAGCTTCGATGTCAATCTGTGCATCGTTGCTGGCGCGTTGCAAACTCCCATTGGAAGAACGAGATACTCCCAGAGACCGTTCGGCGCTTGGAATGCGGTAAACTTGATGTCTTCTTCCCGCATGTGCACTTGGTAGTACGCGGACACCAGGTCCATCGTGGAGAACCAGTACGCACCAGACATGGCGTCAAGGATGTCTTCCTTCCTCGTCATCGGGATACTTTGACGCACAGTGTTCGAATTCAAGTACCGGTAGTCGTGAACAATTCTCCAGCCAACTGGTTTCCGGACACAGAATGTTGGGGCTGCGTGGGGACTGATGCTTGGTCGAATGAGCTTCTTCTTCACCATGTCTTCGACCCAGCGCAAGATTTCACGCTGCTGCTCCGGCGACTGTCGCCACTGCTGCCGGTACATCGCCATATTTGGATCCTTCACATCGATCCGGTGTTCGATGTCACGCTTCTCTGGTAAACCTTCGGGTAGCTCTGGACGAAACACGTTGTCCTTATACTCCATGAGAAGATTGAAAGCTGGATTCTCTCGGAAGGTGTCCCAGTCTGTCTCCAGATAGCGTTGTGCTTTCGCACTCCCAACGTTGTCGGGCTGATCTCGGCGTTGCAGTGAACGTGCAACTTGCTTGATCGTCTCGTTCGACAGCACCAACATGAAGTCGGGCTCGTCGCTCGTGTTGGTCTTGATTCTCAGGAACTTCTGCAACTTCTTGCGCGTGATGTATTTGGTCTGTACACCACTCTCGTCGACAACTCCCATCGTGAACATCTTCTCCACGGCGTTGTCTCCACCCCTGGTACTGCTGCTTCCATCAGCCTCGACTACAGTACTCTCGCGCTCAGACGTCGCAACGTCGTCGTCTCCAGCTGAACTCTTGCCAGTTTGCGCGTCATCATGTCGTTCGCGGACAACACTTGGGGATTTCTTCTGCACTGCGTCACCAACAGCTTCAACCGTGAGCTTCACATCCGTTTCCAGCGCGGCACCTCGACAGGAATCGGGTCTTTTCGCCGACAGGCCTTTCGCCTCGACAGATCTCCGAAGCCCGGAGGTAATCACCGGTCCGCCTTCCTCGATCGGCTCACAGGTCTTCCCTGTTCGCTTCCAGTGCAGAGTCCTCGTTCTCGTTCCTTCGATTCGTCGACCTCTCCAGTCAATCTGGGGTTGCATGTCTTCGAAGAATGGTATTCCAAGAATGCAATCGAATTCGTCTGGAATCGGGTAGACGACTGCCACACACTTGTAGGCGTCGTCCAGCCTCGAGACCAGAATCTCTATCGGCAGAACTTCAAGCTCCGCCTCGACAATTTGGTTGTCTCCCAGCTTGACACGAATGTTCTTGTCGCTGAACTTGGTTGTCTGAAGCTGGTGCTCCTCGACCCAACGCTTGGATACGTAGATCGTGGTGGCTCCACAGTCCAACAACATGCATCGTGTCGCGAGACACTTGTCACCAACACTGATTTCACCCGTTACGGAGAACAGTGGACGTGACTTGTAGACCAGAGGGTTTTCGCACAGAACGTTCAAGCTGATATTCTCAATCTTTAGTGTTCCGGTTACGCTCTCGCCCACGCCAGGACCCTCATTCACTGACGTGGTTGCCCGTTTCCCTGCTTCTCTTGCTCCTTCTTCCAGACGAAGCAGTCGGCCTTGATGTGGCCAGGCCTCTTGCAGTGATAGCAGGTGCGGCCTTCAGGGCGCTTGGAGTCAGACCTCGGCTTGAACCGCCCCTTGCCACGGAAGAGCTTCCCTTTGAATGGCTAGTCTTGCTTGGGAGCTTGGTCAGCGGAGATCTTCCTCTTGTCTTGGCGGGACTGGCGGTCGCGCACGTCGTCCACAAAGTGCGTAACTTCGTACTTGATCGCCAGGTCCATAGCCGCGCTCAGCGTCTCTGGGTTCTTGATCTTGACGTAGCTACGGGTACGAGGCTTGAGACCGTTTGCGTAGCTTAGCACCTGGTCAAGTACACTCATGCCCTCAACTCGGAAGATAAGAGCAGAGTACTCGCTGTTGTAGGTCTCGATGTCCGCCGTTTGCTTGAGTCGCTGCAGCTTCTCTCGCAAGACGGCCTTGTAGTTCGAATCTTCGAAGTGTTGGAACACATGCTCACGGAAAATCCCCCACGTGTGCTCCTCACTTCTCGTCGTCGATGACCAGTGCAGGAACCATCCTGAGGCCGGCTTTTCCATCGCCGACCCGGCGATTCCCTGCAGATGCGCGCTCGCGTCTTCGATTTGGATTCCGTTGATGCGACAGGCGTTCTCGATCTGGAACAGCCATTCGCGAACGTCTTCCCCCCGCTTGCCGGTGAACTTGGGCAGATTGGTGGGCACTCGTGTGCGCTCTGCCATCGCTTGATTCAGCCGGTCGATCTCGGCTCGTAGCTGGGCGTTCGTCGGCATGGGCTTCTTGTAGTCAGGTTGCTGGGACCAACAAGTGCTACCAGTTTAACAGGAAGAAGTGCTGTCTTGGGGGAGGGCGTGCGGAACTAAGAGTGCCGCCCCCGCACTGCGGGGCCCGCAGTTCAGGCGGATGGAAGCTTCGCGAAGCCTCCACAGCCGCCCTACATCTGCATATATATATTAACTTGGTTTCACTATACCTACGGTGAGTCGTACCTACACTGACCTCCTATTGGCTTACCTTTCTACCAATCAGATACAGATCTACTGTTTGGTAATGCCTATAACAGGTCATGAAACGATTTGGTCACGTGACTTACACTAGTGCTAGGTATGAGAAACCACTCGAGCACACTTTCCATCGAGGAAGGATCACTTTAGGGAAAGCCACACCCTCCATGAGATCTAGTAGCTGTCCTGAAGCTCCTAGAACTGGGTTGGGCCAAATTGGGGGCTTCTACACTGAAAACGGACGAAAAAGCGATGTTTTGTGACGTGACCAAATCGCGTGACCAAATCGCTTCATGACCTGTAATAGATTGTCCCCTGCTGTTTGGAATCCGTCCCTACAGCCTTTTAGATACGTCGCTCCTGGTGTTTGCCCATGCCGACCACACTCATCATTCGGGAGGCACGTAGAAAAGGCCGATTCAATATTTTGCCTAGGCCCGAATTTCAAATCCAGCTCTTTTGAGCATATCGAGCTGGATCACATTTTGGGTGTTTCAGATTGCAAACGAGCTGGATATCCGGCTGTATTTAGCCTAAAACAACTGGATTGGGTGCAAGTCGAACACGGTTCTACTATGCCACATCACTCGTACACACTATTCATTCGCACATGAACCACCAGCACCTCGGCTGGGCTGCATGTCCCTCCGCTTGAACGTCAGTAGCGTTTCCTCGGCATCCATATATTTTTCTAGTTCTCAGCCTCTCGGAGGGCTCCGGAATCGCCTAACAAAAGTCACAACGACTCTCCATTTTCTCGGAAATCGGTACTTCTTCACTGACAAAAAGTCACGATTGATGGACATGGCAACAATCGACAAGATGAACGTGTAGAGCTCAACTTCTATTGCCACGCTTACTCTAAACAACATGCCATTGAATAGGCGTCGAATTGGGCAAGCCCTGGTCTCACTCTTGGTGCTCTACTGTGTGTCTTTGGTGATAATATGGGTTAAGTGGGCAGAGATGGAGGATCCAGGCATTTCACTAAATGAGGATGACTTCCACGGGTTTGACGATGGCCTCGATGGGGAAGACGAGAGCAGTGACTACCCTCGCCAAGCGTGGAGGAAGGAGGAGTTCAGGTGTCTTGGCTGGGTGGCGACGGATGACGACGGTGATGAACTGGGGTTGAGGAGGGGATGCTGGCAGCGTATTCAAGCTGGTGATGCCGGGTACTGTGAGGTGCAAAATACTACCTCAGGCGAAGTTTTCCACGTGATGCACACGACCAGCCTCTCGTTGAAGGACGACGCTCGGTTCACGTGCGAGCTGGCGAAGGAATTCTCTTCTTTTCAGTTCCATGCTTCCGCATATCGCCACGATCCCCCCATGGCGATCGTCCAACCCAACACACAAGGGATTGTCATGGCTGTGTACGACAGCGTGCTACCCAGTGCGTTCGCGAGTATTCGTCGTCTACGGGACACTGGATGTAAGCTTCCAGTCGAGCTCTGGTTCCGATACGATGAACTCTCACCAGAAAATCCGGTGCTAGCGCTGCTCATTGAAAACTTCGGGCCCGTCCACTTGCGGCGGATATTCGATGAGCGCATCTACGGCTTCAACGTGAAGGTGCATGCGTTGTACTACTCGCAGTTCACGAGCGTTCTGCTACTGGACGCCGACAACTTCGCTGTGAAAGACCCAACGCCGCTGTTCACGTCGTCCGCGATGAAAACGTTCAGCGCCGTGTTTTGGCCCGACTTCTGGAGTCCCGGAAACTCGATCTTCAATCTTCACGCGCAGAGTTTGGTGTGGGAGTTGTTGGGTCTTGACTACGTGGAAATGCTAGAGCAGGAGAGCGGCCAGGTGCTAGTTAACCGCGCCATGAGCAGGCCCATGCTTGAGCAACTGCTCTACTACGCGACGCATCGACCCAATCTGTTCACGAAGCTGAAACTTGTATGGGGCGACAAGGATCTGTTCCGCTTGGCTTGGCTGCAAACAAAGCAAAAATTCTTCTACAACGACCGCCGCATGCCAGGAACGCTTGGTATCGTCAACCAGGACCGTCAGCGATACTGCGGAGTGACGATGGTGCAGTACGATCTGGATGGAGACAGTATGCTCTTCTGGCACCGCAACACGATCAAACTAAGCGGTCGCGGCGATGACAGACAGGTCTGGTATGCCTTACAAGAGCTCGACCCCCTTGACGACGGCTATCCGACCCCCAAAATCCAGTCATACAACGGCGAAAGGATCTTCAATGAAACCTCATGCTTCGGCGTCAAGCGCCTCGGGATAAACACACGTGTTCAGATGAAGCGCGTCGATGAACTTGGTGCTGAATTAGCCTTTTTGGAAAGCAAGCTGATTCAATATGCACGCCAGGCATATCAACTACTTGATGATGAGGCCTCAGCGCTAGAGTTTCTTAATGGCCTCGAATTCGCTTGATCGGTGATCAATTACTTGTCGGATGCTTTCAGGGAACTCCAGGTCGAAAAATGGCTCCACGGTTAGAAATGCCGCTTGTTTTAGCCGAGAGCTGTACTGGAGAAAATTTGCAGCCGCTTGCTCCCGACTACTGCAATACGAAGAAGAGTCGCTGCCGCACCGTTGAGCTTGAAGGGCGATGTGGTTGTAGACTAAGGATTGCACGTAGCTAACTTCCTTTAATCTCCGCAAGTTTTGCACCGACGAGAACATTTTTGCGCTTGTGTTGAGCATTTCAATGGCCTTCGCTGCCGCAGAAGCTGGTTCCTTCGCTCCCTCCTTGGAACGCTTGATGCTTGCTACCATCGTCTTAGCCAGCACGAGCAAACACTCTCCACGCAGTTGAACGCTTCCATGTTCCATCACCAGAGGCATTTGGTCGTCGATGAGTGCGTGTGCATCCTGCAGCTTCCCCATTGCAATATAAATCTCAGCCATGACAACGTGAGCCTCTGCCAGTAGCAGATCAAAATGGTGCCCCCTACAAATGTCGATGCATTTCATCAGAGCATTCAGGGGTGCAAATGGCGCATGGGGTGCAGATGCTTGAAAACGCGTTCGGCTTGCTGCAATCAGCACTTGGGCGTGCAGGTACGCAAACCCATGCTCATTACACGTAACTTCTGCGTTCTCAAGCAACTCAAGGCTTCGCGGATAGTTACCCATAGCCGCCAATAGGTCTGCCTTCAGCATAAGCGCCGCCAGATACGCAGAAAAATCTTTTCCTTCTGGGGAGAGCGCAAGTATCGCGTCTAAATGAACTTCCGCGCGCGAAAATTCCCCGCGATGAAGCACCCACGAAAAGAAGAGGTGATGGAGCGTCCTCTGGTACGCCATATCGTTAAGCAAGTAGCGCCGACCGAAAGCCTGATGTCCACCCACAGCAACGTCAGCAAGGAAGTTGAGTGCTAGCGCATAAGCGTTTTCTTCGGACTGCATCTGCACGAGTTTGGATATTGCCATTTGGCTCACGGTCAGTGCAACTTCACCGGTGCTAGCAGAGTCTTCGTAACACAGGAGATGCATGCGACTAAATATTTGTTCCAGAGAGCGGTGACCGAAGAGGCTCCAGCCAGCGGCTGATGAGATCGTAACTTTCCCACTTAATTTCCAGACGGTGTCGAGAATCGCCTCCGTAGACTTTATCCAATCCATTCCGCTTCCGCCAGACCGGTCAGGTGCGTCACCCCCTGAGCCTGCGGCCGCTTGAGCCTGTAAAACAATCATCGTGCGCGTACCATTGTTGGACAAACTAGCTGCTGGGGTCGCTATTAATGCGACAGATTGCATCGCTTCATGAAGACGCGACCAAATGTGCAGCGGGCGAGGTGCAGGTGTCTGCGCAGCAAACATGTGCGGGACAAACTGAGTTGCTGACCCCACAGACTCAGGATGGTCGGTGCGTCCACGCGTCAAGTCACTCTCCACCTCCGTCAGTGTTGCCAACACTTGCAGCGCAGGAAGGCGCAACTCCTGAGCGCGGTTCAAACAGCTACTGACTAGCTGCAATACCGCATCTTTGGGCTTACCGATCTTCTGGTTGATACGAATCAGCCATGCCAGTGCAAATGCCACGCAGATGTGGTCACCGTGATGTTGAGCTACTCGAATTGCCTCCTGGATACTTTCTTGGGCAGCATTGTAGTGATCAAATATAATCTGCAGTCCCGCCAAGTTCAGCGCGGCATACTGGATACCGCTTCCTCGGAAATGCAAGTTAGCACCTGCCGAACCCGACGACGTGGACCCAACACCATCGCTAGCTCCATTGACGCTCGAGCGAGATTCTTGGTGAGGCGACAGCACGTCGTGGTACTGGTGCAAAGTGTCGAGGGCCCCTTGATAATCACGTTCATGAAGATATGATAAATACTTCACGTAAAGCACGTTCGGGTTCGAACAGTCCATCTTCTTGCGAAGTACTTGGAGCTCATCTTCAGTACTTTGATCTCCATCGGTCCGTTGCGAAGCTTGGTGTTGGTTCCTTGGCCTCCCTTCCATCTCGTGAGCCATGTCGTTCAGTATATAACTCAACTGGTCATTCGACCACACTGCAGGGTCGTCCACTTCTCGAACAGCTTCTGCAGTCATCAACTTCTCGGCCAAAATCTGCGGATCCACTATTGTCGGTGCAGGAGTCATCAAATTATCTGCCGACGGCACGGTACGTGACGGCGTTGCACTGCCCGAGTGGATCGGCGACAGCAGCAGGTCGTCATCCTCCATCTTGCTTTCGTTCCACATGTGTTGCGACGCTGGCGATGCGATCAGGTCGAGGTTGGTATCCTTCTGCTCCATTGCTTTGTCAGCCTTCTTTTCTTTCTCCATGTCTTCTCGGAACTGCTCCAGATACTGCTGTACGTCGTCGAACAGTCTCGAAAGGCCGTCGAACAGCAGGCGGTTGACCGCCAGCAGGAAGCTGCGCACGAAGACGCCCAGCAGACTCGTGCGGACGAGCGTGGAGCTGGTGGAGTCCACGTCCGCGTCCTCTCCGTCCTCCCTCGAGCTGGCGAGCGGCGCCACGCACTCGGAGATCTGCTCCACCGTGTTCATCACGGCGTCGGGGCTTTCGATCTTGCTCAGGATGCTCACGAGCTGCCACGAGAGCTGCTCGAAGTCCTTCGCACTGTCTAAACTAATCTCCAAGCGTCGCAATAAACTCTTGAGGGTCGTGAAGCCCGCGCTCTGATTGGCGGAAATTGGGTGCTGGATCTCGCGCCGCAGGAAGCGCGCCAAGGCGTTCAGCGTCGTCCTGCTGACCGTCGGCGCGGCGGGCGGCGCGTGCGGCGCGTCCACGAGCGAAGCCACCGAGTCCTCGCCGGCGCCGCCCCGGCTCGCGTCCTGCTGCTGCTGCCGCACATACTCGGAGACGAGGAGACAAACACTCAGCACGTACGCGTTGGCCTTCCACTTGCACATTTTGTGCGGAAAATATCTAATGTCACTAAATGATGATAATCATGTCACTATATCGAGAGTTGAAGTGCATCAATAGTTGGTACAGTGTACCACTAAAAGCAATATTTGATGGAGCAAGCGCCTCCGACGACGCTGCTGGCGGTGACGCTGCTCCAAGCCGCAGCTCGGCGGCATCGACTACGTGGTTAATACTGTCTCGGCGTTTGCGGACTCTTCGGTGGAGCTGCCGCTTGCAAAGGCGTGCGCGTTTGGGTCGCTGAGGCTGCTGGACCGCATCTGGAAAAGTGCCGTCGACCACGAGCCCGCTGGCAACTCGTACTGGTCCGTCAGGAGGCTGTTGCGCTATGAATCGCTGTATAAAGACTTACAGTTCTCGCTGTCTCTGGTGGCAGCGATCAAGATGAGCAGTCTCGAGCTCGTTCAGTGGCTTTTCGAGCGCTTTCCTGACTGCGGGGTGAAGCGGAGCGTGGTATACGAGGTTTCGGCGGCGGGGGCGTTGGATATTCTGCGATACTTCCGAGAGCACGGGCGTACAATCCCCGCTGCAGTGGAAGAGCGACATGGAGAATGGGACGAGACTAGGGGCTGCTGGGGAGGACGTCGCCGGGTTCACTGGGGAGGGGTCGATGCAGCTCGCGCAGCTTCAGCAGGACACAGAAGTCTTCAAGTGGATGTATCGAGAGACAGCTGACGCGCTTAGAGACGACTATGCTGCGGTAAGTGCTGCTGTTGCCGCTGGAGATGTGGCGCTGGCGCAGTGGCTTGTAGATACTGCTGATGTGGAACCCAATCACCCCGCCGAACCTCAAGGTGCTGCTGCGGGTGGGCATGTCGATCCTCTGCAGTGGCTGCACGATCGGGGCAAGTATTTGCAGTACAGTACTGGCGTTTTAGTATTAGCAGCTCAAGAAGGACGCTTGAACGTCGTACGTTGGATTCTCGATCACGATCAGGATGATGCTGAGCTGGGAGGTTCGAGTGAGTGCGAAACCTCGGACGACAGTGGGAAGAAAATGCGACTGACGTGTTTGGGTGGGGAAGCAAATCTAGCTACCGGATAGCTACGGTATCCACGGAGCTTGTATTAATGGGCACCTGGACATTGCCAAGTATCTGTATGCGCGAATCAATCGACCAATATATAGCAAGGATGAACTCAAGGAGGCTGAACGATTGAAGAAAACTGTCAACGTCGTTTCGAGGGGGCTTGGAAGAAAACATAACGTCGCAAGCGTGTCAGGAAAAACGATGCTGCAAGCCGCGGAAAAGGGGTTTCTTGATGTCGTGCGGTGGCTCTACACGAAATTTAACGCGAATCCGACCGTAAACCTCTTCTCGGATTCCGATCCGCACGGCAGTGACGAAGACGGGGGACAATACGTCGGCGTGGTCGGTGCAGCAGCAGGTGCCGGGCATTTAGGGGTCGTGAAATATCTGTTGCAAGCAGGGCGAGAAAGCGTTGAAGAACCCCCCTCCGCTTCAAAGCGACAGCGCACAAGCAGGTCTCCACAGCGTTATCTGCGCTATCGGTCACTACTTGACAGCCCGACGAAGCCAACATGCGCAACAAATGCAATGGATTGTGCGGCATTTGGTGACCACTTTGATGTTGTTCGTTGGCTTCATGCCAATCGTACAGAAGGCTGCACCTAGAGCGCAATGGATCTGGCTGCAGGAAGGGGACTGTTGGAAATGGTACAGTGGCTGCACGAGAACCGGCCGGAAGGATGCACCACGGACGCGATAGATGGGGCAGCAAGTTGGGGCCACCTCGACGTCGTGAAGTGGTTGCATGAGCACACAAACGAAGGTTGCACGGCTGAGGCAATGAATGGCGCAGCGGAAGGTGGCCACCTCGAGGTTGTGAACTGGCTGCATGAAAACCGAACCGAAGGCTGTACAAGCGCCGCAATGGACAATGCGGCACGAGGTGGCTATTTGAACATTGTAAAGTGGTTGCATGCGAATCGTACCGAAGGGTGCACGAGCGCTGCCATGGATGGCGCAGCTGGTTGCGGGGCGATGGACGTTGTGAAGTGGCTGCGCCACAACAGCAAGGAGGGGTGCACCACTTCTGCTATGAGCAAAGCTGCGCAAAGCGGCTACCGACGGGTCTTACGGTGGCTGTATGAGAACCGAATGGAGGCCCGAGATGTAGTTGATGCGACAGAGAACGCAAGCTGGGCTGGCCAGTTCGAGGCTGTGCTAATGCTTGAGCTGATTTCCAACCCAGATCTCGCCATCTTGGTGCTGGATGATCACGACTCGGCCGTCTGGACCAACGAGCACTATAGCGACGTCCTGCTTGTCCTTCTCCCACGAGGAGAAGACGATGACGATGGCAGCGACGACAATAGAGGGAGTCTTCCTGCCGATGCGTTAAAGTGCAACATTTATTAATAATAACTTGGTTTTTGTATCGAGCAAGTTGAAGTGTATCCCAACGGTACATCGTACCACTACAGCAACCGCCAGTCAGCACAGTCTATTGGACATGGCATCACCATCGGCTCCGACGCCGCCGCTGCTGGCCGTGGCGCTGCTCTTCCGCTCCAAGCCGCAGTTCGCCGGCATCGACCACGTCATCCACGCCGTCTCCACCTTCGCAGACTCGTCCGTGGAGCTGCCGCTCGCCTCCGCCAGTCGGTTCGGGTCCGTGGCGCTGCTCGAGCGCGTCTGGAACAGCTCCGTCGACCTGGAGCCTGGCGGCAGGTCCCTCTGGTCGGTGCGGAGACTGCTGAGGGACTATCCGTTGTACAACAAGTGGCAGTTCACATTGTCTCTGGTGGGGGCGATCAAGGCGAACAGTGTGGAGGTGGTTCGGTGGCTGTTCGAACGATACCCGGACTACGGCGTGCGGCGGAAGGTGGTGTACGAGGCGGCGTCAGCGGGTGCGCTGGAGATCCTTCGGTTCTTTCGAGATAACGGCACCATTGTGAACTTTGCGGACGAAGAGGATCTACCAGGGCAGGAATGGGATCAGGAGACGGAGAACTGGGAACGAGGCCGCTGGGTCTATTGGGGCAACGAGGACGCCGAACGAGCGGCCGCTGCGGGCCATGTGGACGTCGTTCGGTATATATACGAGACGGCGGAGAATGAGGATAGAAGTGACTATGGTTCCATGGAAGGAGCTGTTGCAGCGGGAGACTTGGAGTTGCTGCGGTGGCTCCAGGACCACCTCGGTATGGAACCGGAAGGCTACACTGTGCCGATCCGTGCAGCGGCCGGTGGACATCTCGAGGCTTTGCAGTATCTTAAGGAACGAGGCTATTGTAGGAGGGAAGAAGCTGGGGTGCTCGTGAAAGCGGCGGAGGCGGGTCACCTCCACGTGGTGCGCTGGATTATCGAAGAGGACTGGAACGATGAAGCCATGCTCACGGACGGAGGGAGCGACGATGAAGACTGGTACAGCAACCGCATGTTTCATGCGCCGAAAGTGCGCCGGACATATCATACCTCGTTAGGCGGAGAGGCGAGTCTTGCTATCCATGCCGCCGCTATTAACGGGCATCTGGAGGTTGCGAAGTACCTGTACGCTCGCACGGACAAGCCGCTGAATCCTAGAGACGAAGATATCGAGAATCGAAGACTTGCCGACAGGAAAGCTACCCTTGAAAGACCACTCGGACAGAGAAACAATGCCCACAAGGTGTCGGGTGAAACGATGTACCTTGCAGCGCAGAGAGGGTATTTCGACGTCGTGCAGTGGCTCTACACGGAATTCAACGCCGATCCGACAATAAACCTCTTCTGGACAAGCGGACACCATATGGAGCAGCTCTTCGACAGCACAGTCGACGCAGCAGCGGCGAGCGGTCGTGTGGAAATCGTGCAGTACCTCCTCCAAGCTGACTCAGCTACTCAGGACTCAGCGAATGCCGAGCAGAAGCCGAAGAGGAGATGCCTGCACAGGTTCCGCGACTTTGCTAGGGACATATTGGAACAAGGAAATTATAAATTGGAGCTCGAACCGACAAGGCCAAGCTGCACCACAGACGTCATGGACCTTGCTGCCCGAAACGGACACTTGGAAATGGTGAAGTGGCTGCACTATAACCGGTCAGAAGGATGTACCACCAAAGCGATGGACGAGGCAGCAAGGGGTGGCCACCTCGAGGTTGTGAAGTGGCTGCATGAACACAGAACTGAAGGATGTACAGTCGGTGCAATGGATTCCGCAGCAGGTGGAGGTCACCTGGAAGTTGTGAAGTGGCTGCACGAAAATTGTACTGAAGGGTGCTCGAGAGACGCCATGACGTTAGCAGCTGAAAGCGGTCACCTGCGAGTACTCCGATGGTTGCACGAGAATCGTACGGGGGGCTTCACAACGGGGGCCACGGTTAGCCCTGCCGCGGTAGGAAACTTCGAGCCCGCGTTGATTTTGCACGGCATAGCACAAAATGGTCTTGCCAGTAGAGTTGACAGAATGGAGGAGGACGCATCCAAGGCCTGGGTAGCTGAACAGTACCACGAGGTTGTGCGTGTTGCACTCAAAGAAGACTGAACTGTGCGGTTGACGATGCCTACACATAAAGATGTTACCATAAATCTTGCTTCCACTGTTTCGATCGTTTCACTTCGGATTATTCGCTGTTTGCTGGGTGTAATTGGGTTGTTGACGCTGCTGGAAGAGCACTATCAACCTTGAGCTAGGTGGTTGGACCGTGAGGATAGCGCTCTAAGCGCAGCCGTTCTATCTAATATGGGTAATTCCCGTAAGTACACGTTACGTTGTCTTCGCTGGCGCCATGGCCTAAGGTGTGTTCTTTGACAAGTACGGTGTAGTGATAGCTTTTTGAACGCTTCCCTGGATGTGGAGCGGAGCGGGGATATATGAGGCATCGGGCACTCGTAACCCTTGATACTTTTCCGCTGGCAGTAGAATTCTACAACTTCACCTGGGGCTCCAAACTACTGTACCTCGCTTTTTGTATTCAGCAAGTTGAAGTGTATCCCAACGGTACATCGTACCACTACAGCAACCGCCAGTCAGCACAGTCTATTGGACATGGCATCACCATCGGCTCCGACGCCGCCGCTGCTGGCCGTGGCGCTGCTCTTCCGCTCCAAGCCGCAGTTCGCCGGCATCGACCACGTCATCCACGCCGTCTCCACCTTCGCAGACTCGTCCGTGGAGCTGCCGCTCGCCTCCGCCAGTCGGTTCGGGTCCGTGGCGCTGCTCGAGCGCGTCTGGAACAGCTCCGTCGACCTGGAGCCTGGCGGCAGGTCCCTCTGGTCGGTGCGGAGACTGCTGAGGGACTATCCGTTGTACAACAAGTGGCAGTTCACATTGTCTCTGGTGGGGGCGATCAAGGCGAACAGTGTGGAGGTGGTTCGGTGGCTGTTCGAACGATACCCGGACTACGGCGTGCGGCGGAAGGTGGTGTACGAGGCGGCGTCAGCGGGTGCGCTGGAGATCCTTCGGTTCTTCCGGGAGAACGGCACTACCGTCCATTATATGGAGGAAGAGCACGAAGAAAATGGGGAATGGGACGAGGAGAAAATGGGCTGGGAGCGAGGCCGCTGGGTCCTGTGGGGAGGGGTGGACGCGGCGGAAGCTGCCATTGCAAAGCACCCAGACGTTGTCAGGTGGATCTACGAAACGCACAATCACGAGGACAGGAATGACTACACGGCAATAGATGCGGCTTTAATCGTGGGGGACATGGAGCTGGCGAACTGGGTGATGGATCGAACTGGGATGCGCCCTGAAGGGCACGAATCCCTTTTTGGCGCTGCCGCTAATGGATACGTGGAGCCGCTGCAATGGTTTCAAGATCATGGTGAGTATTTTCAATGGGATACCGGGACGCTGATCAAAGCCGCAGAGGCAGGACAATTGAACGTCGTGCGCTGGATCATTGAACGCGACTGGAACGATAAGGAGCTGGGGGACGAAAGCGGCTCGGATGAGTACGATATTGAGTACCGTTTTCACGACAGAGGGCGCCGGACGTTCCATTCGTGCCTCGGAGGGGAAGCGAGCTTAGCCATCCATGCAGCTTGTGTTAATGGACACCTGGATGTTGCTAAGTATCTTCATGCTCGAATCGACAAGCCACTCAACCGTCTCGATGAGTACAAAGAGAAAGACAGACTGGAAAGGAGAATCCAGGCGCTAGCATCGCGGCTGGGAGACGAGCACAACGCTGCACTAGTCGCGGGCGAAACGATGCTTCGTGCTGCGGAAAAGGGGTTCCTGGACGTTGTACAGTGGCTGTATACCGAGTACCATGCCGACCCGCGACTCAATCTCTTCTGGGTGGAAGGTGCCGCTGATGATGAATACGGATACAGTGAGGACGACTATGAGGACCCTCATCGTAGCGTGGTTGATGCAGCAGCAGCCAATGGTCATTTAGATATTGTGCAGTATCTTCTTCAGGTGAAAAATGAAGCCTTCAAGGAGTCGGAGGACGCGCATGCTTCCAAGCGACGACGTACTGGAAGCTTTACGAGTAGCAAGGCCGATGACCTGTCAAATGTCCTGGTTTCCTCGCCAAACACACCAGATAAACTGAGTGAAGCGGGGTGTACGAGAGCGGCCATGAATGATGCAGCTGCTAATGGACATCTGAATGTCGTTCGGTGGCTCCACGACAACCGCACAGAGGGATGCACGACCGCAGCGATGGATCTGGCGGCTGCCAATGGGCACTTGGAGGTGGTGCAGTGGTTGCATGATAACCGTAGCGAGGGCTGCACCACCGATGCTATTGACGATGCTGCAAGGGGAGGTCACCTGGACGTGATCAAGTGGCTTCACGCACACAGGCGCGAAGGCTGCACTGCAATTGCAATGGACAACGCGGCTGCGGCTGACTTCCTCGAAATCGTGGAATGGCTGCACGAAAACCGTAGCGAAGGCTGCACACCTGCAGCGATGGACGGGGCCGCCGCGTACGGCAAGCTGGACATCGTCAAGTGGCTGCACCGGAATCGGTCCGAGGGGTGCTCGGAGCGAGCAATGGACAGCGCCGCCCACGGTGGCCATCTGCGCGTGCTGCGCTGGCTGTTCGAGAACCGGTCGGAGGGCTTCACGACTCAGGCGCTGGACAACGCAACGCGCTTCGGCCAGTTCGAGACCGTGTTGATCCTGCACAACCTCGCCCAGCAAGGACTCGCCAGCGGAGTGGACATCGTGGACGCCGCCGCATCCAAACTCTGGATCGCACAGAGATACAACGATATCATCACTCCACTAACCGCAGTAGACAAAATGGAGCTCACGCGGGCGAATTGAAGCGGCTCAGATGAAAATATAGTTGAAGTTGCCTTGCACTTCCACCACAAAATGGTACACCGTACCACTTGAAGTCTGCGCTGCGATTGGTGGAAACGGGCTCCAGCCTGCCATTCGCGCATTATCCTCCTGGTGAGCCAAGAGTGAGTGCGCACTCCCTCGCCCCACGCCTCCCCGCGCCCCGCAGACGATGAACGAGCAGCCCTGAGGCCCCTGCAGACGACCGACCGACCGACCGACCGAAGCAGAGACACACAAAGGACCCAGAGCCATGCGCCACGACGCAGCCGCAGTAGCCGCCGCTGACGCCCACGACGCCGCCGCCGCCGCCTTCAACCCGCTGGTGGCGCTGCAGTCGCTGCTGGCGGCCGACGTGGCCAGCGCCAAGCAGCGCATGCGGGCGGCGCAGCAGCTGCAGAGCTACTTCGCGCGGCTGAGCCACACGCCCGGCCTGCTGCTCTCGTACGAGCCGTACCTGCCGCTGCTGACGGAGACGCTGGGCGCGCCCCAGGCCGCCAAGGGCGCGAGCGCGCAGGAGCTGCAGACCGCCGTGCTGGCCTTGCTGCTGGCGCTGTCGGGCCACAACCCGGCGGGCTTCAGCGACTGGATGGCCAGGAACACGCAGCTGGGCAACGAGCCGTGGCTCGTGCAGTGGAGCTACGCGCTGCTGCTGCAGACGGAGAAAACGGTGCCAAGACGAGAGGAGGGAGACAATGATGGAGAGCTGGACAAGTTGGATGAGACCTCGCCGCAGTTCAAGGAGTTCGACAGAGCCTTTGCTAGGGTCTTGCACATGTGGAGGACGCTGCTGGACCATACAGCTGACGTGGCTCTTGTGGACCAGCTCGTCAAGTACTTGCAGGTGCTGCTGGTGCAGCAGCAGGAACAGGGAGGAGACAAGTGGAGGACGATGATGCTCAAGAAGCTGCAGACGCACTTTGTGGATATCGCCGACGTGTTGATTGGATGGATGATGAGCACGGGACCGCACGGATCGCTGCGGTATGTCGAGGAGCTTGGTTTTTTTGTTTTTTCGCGACAAGCGCTGAAAGCTGATGGATTATTGTTCTTGCTTCGGCGTGAGTTACAGGGAGGAGATCCTCACGCTCTTGCATCATTTTGGCCGCTTGTGGGCCGACAACAGCGTGTTTAGTCTTCAGCTGCTGAGTTCGTTCGCGGATGTAAGTTTTTGACGCTGGATAGTGGCCGAAAAGCAGTTTGATTAAATGCTTTGGTGTTGTAATCGGACAGGAAATTGTCAATTTGTGCGATTCGTGGGATGATCACCAAGAGGGCGATGACGATCGCCTCAGTACCCTGTTAACTTGTTTTATGATGGTAGCTCAGTGCGTTCCAGATTTGGGTAAGATGAAATGTCCGCGCATCTTGAATTGTATAAGATCACATACTAATAGCGGATTATGTGCTGGTGATCTTTGCAGCTTTACCCACGGAAGAAAGCGCCAATAGCTCATTCGTAAGAGTGCTCCACAGTGTAGCATCTTGTCCGAAGCCGGAGTATTCGTACGTTGCCCATTGTTCGCTTCTTTGCGTGTATACTGCAGTTTTGTCTGATACTTCGTTGAAATGTACACACAGCCTTTTCTGCCTCGCGCATTGCTCCGAGTATATGGTAACGATGTCTAGCTCTAGGCATAGCAACTTCCCTCCCCTTTCGGTGGCAGCTGTGAGTTTTTTACTGTACCATTGTGCTGTTCAAGCTCAAATGCATGACAGTGAGGTGGACAAACTCGCAACGGTTATGAAAAATGCCTGCACACTAGCAAGTGCGAATTTTTCCCGGGTAGAACGCACTCCACCTGTTCAGGCTGCCGCTGTAAGAATACTTGAAGGTGATTTACCAACCCGAATCGTGAAAAAGGGTGGACAGCCAAAGCGCGTGAAAGTTATGGAATGCCTGTTCCAAGTACGATGCGCTAAAGGCCTCACGCGAATCGCGCAGCTGTGTCTACATTTGCTGCGACTGGGAGGAGTTGGCGCTTTAAAGGTGAGTCTGCAACCGACTTCCATTTTTCTGCAAATATTCACAGTACCTTGTTTCCGTAGACCCTCGGGACTCGAGCATTTCAGCGTCTAAACAGCCGGCATAAAGGGAAGAGAAATAGCTATTTCGTGTTTGCGGCTACATGCTTCATCGTAGCTTCTCGGAACAGCGAGATGCTGTTCGCATCTCGTGACGATGTGACCCACGCGGTTGGAGTTCTCGAATTGGTTACAGCAAAACTGGAAAAGCAGAGCCACCGACATCGTCAGCACCGACTGACGCCCCGGCAATTGTGCCTCGTGCTCAAGATGGCGTCTACATTCGTAAGCGCCGTATCCCGCTTCTTTGTTGGTCGTCATGATGTAGCGGAGGCTGTGAAAGGCGTAGCTCATCGGCTTATGGAATGCGCAGTTCACATGCTGCCAAGTGAGGCGGTGCTTGTTCGAGATCATCGACTCACCACTGAAGTACTGAAGGTGATTGATACCGTGCTATCGCAAACGGATTCTGCTGTCGTTTCCCCCCACAAAGTTTACGCATACGTTTTGGAGAAGGTGAACAAGGTTGCTCGCTGCTCTAACGTGAAAGTTCAAGAGGGTTGCTTTGAAGTCTTGAAAACGCTCAGTTCTCGGGCCGAGGCAAGTGTATTTGTAGGTGATGTTTTTAAGACGCTGCTGGACTTCGTGTTGGATTTCGACGGCGCAGTACAAAGCGGGTTGGTATTGGAGGTACTGAGTGGCATTGCTCGCCCGGCACTCCTGTATCAACAAAAAGAGAGCGTTCCCTGCGTCGTATCACAGCCCTTGCATTCATCTTTCGTCGGAGCAGATTTTGAAAATCTTATGAGCCTTTTCGAGTCTCGTGAACGCGATGGAAGTGAGTGGAATGGAGCCTGCCGACAAATTATGGACCGAATTGAACCAGACACGGTGGCCATCAGTAAATCCGACGTGCTTCTGGGTGCAGTTCGGCAAGCAGCCGCATGGTGCGTTCAGAATCGATTACGCACACACTTTGGAGGACCAGCTCAAACCTTTTCAAGCATCGAACAACTGGTGCAGGAGTACTCGAATGGGGGTCAAAGCTTAGCCGAGACGGCGGAGCCGCACCAGTTGACAAAGTGGTTGATGCTGGAATTTATTACCGCCTTGGAGATGAGCATCACTCGTGCTATTTACGCTACTGAAATCGATCAAAGCAATCCAGACGCTGAAGAGTACAAGGCAGTGCTTTTCTTTCGTACGAACAAGGTGGTGTGTGACGATTGGCTTAACCGTATTCGGCCGTATCTCGTGGAGTTGTCCAGGAACGGAACGTCCTACGAGCAGTGCCGGTATCACAGCCACGCAATGGTGACAACCTGCTACAATAAGCTCAGCAGAACAATGGCGTCATTTGCAACACACGGGTTTTCAGACAAAGGATACAACGAGCTGAAACAAGCGGAAAAGGACATGGATGTTGCACTCTTCTTCCTGTGTCGTTGTCATTGCGATGCAAAAGATGTCGACACTATCATTGGTTTTCAAAAGTGGGGTGAATCGGTTTCCGCCGCCCTTACAAGTTGGTACCAGCTAAACAAGGAGAAGTTGGGTATCACTGAAGAACTATGCGATTTCTCATTTTTCCGATGGCTGAATGCAGTGCGATATGAGGCTGAAATGCGCTATGAAGATGCTGCTGCAGAATACGAGGCCTTGCTCCTGCCAGTGCTATCTGCTCGAAGCGAACCACTCTCTTTGGGCGGCATTAGTGCCGCGGGGATCTTTGAGTCCCCAACGACGTACCTTCGGATGTCATCTCAAGCACTTCTGGGGTGCTTCAAACAATGCGCGAAGTGCTATGCGTCTCTGCGCGAATGGTCTAAGCTGCGGATATTTGTCAGTCAGTTCGTAGAACTTGCTCAGTCGCTGGTGAATCATGACCGCCCCATTGAGGATATTCAGGCGATATTTGATTGCAGTGATATGTGGAGCGATGAGATCGGAACGATTCAGCGTTTGGAGGCTCAAGTGAATGCGTCCACAAAAGGAACAGATTTGGTTGGTGATCCAGCTAAACGGGCATCGCTGGCGCTCCGGGTTTGGAATGTGCTTGGTGACCCAGATGCCAAACCAACACATTCTGCAGTGCATCTTGGTAGCGTGGCTGATCGATTTCAAAACGATTTAATTCCGTTGGCTTTGCAGCCCTCGCCGTGGAATGGGTACGCGGGCGACAAAATTGGCAAGAAAGCGGAGGAAACGTTGCTTCGGATACTCGGGGTCTCTACGAGGTCTCAATTTCCACTTGCGCCATTTCACAAAACATGTGAAATGCAGCTCAACCTGAATCCTGAGTTGTATGACTCTGTTGTTTGGAGTCAACCATTCTGTTCTGCTGGTAATGCTGGAGGTGCTGACACGGAGAGTTTGTACCTGACGACTGTGGCCCGGCTGGCACGGAAGCAACACAACTTTGGGTTCGCTCGAAGCATTTTAAGAGACGCTGCAGCTCTCAGCGGGGTGGGCCGTACCGCATCTATGGCTGTTAGTTACGAGAAAGCGAAATTACTGGAAACAGTGGGTATGGAGGATGAGGCGCGTCGTCTCTTAGAAAACCAGTGCGAAACGAACCTGGCGGCAATCGTTGCGAAGCCTGGAATCTTTGAACAGGAACATCCGGCCCTTCGCGCTTTGCTGCATCTCTCCACAACATTTGCGAAAGCAGATAGTGCAGAGCTTTTGTCACCGACTACATCACGCTTTCTTGACGACACGGTTACAAGCTTTCGTAATGAGAAGCTGGCTAACCTGAGCGATATCAACCTTCTATCTGATAGCCCAGATACAGCGGCTCACAGATGTCTCGAAGCGGCAATTTCCATATCACCCAGATCGGCAAAGGCCTGGATCAGGTATAGTCATTGGTGTTACAATCGAGGAAAACGTGAAATTGCAGAGATTGCGGAGCAGAATGGATATATTCACCTAGCTCCGTCGGATGAATTGCAGATGAATTCTCTACTGGACGAGATAGGTGTCGTTGAACCAGACCGTGATTTCATTATTCGCGCGTTTTGCCATTTCCTGGATAACGGGGAGCTGGTTAGCCAGAAACCTGACGAATTTCACCAACTGTGCATTGATCGAGCACCCGCGACTCACGATAGTGATGCAGTTGATCGGCTAATCCAGCTTCAACAGGCATGTCATTCCAAGGTGCTCCAATATTTCACGTTGGCTGCTCGTGGCTACGGGAATTATTTCGCCGTAATGTTCGGCGATTCAGACTGTAAAGCCCCACGACAGGAAACAACCATGGTGGCGCTTCGCTTGCTTAGCCTTCTGACGACCTACGGATTAGAAAAAGATATCGTGTCCGCGCTTGAAGACGTCTTTGCCAACGGACCGGTAGCTCCATGGTCCTACGTTGTTCCTCAGCTGATCGCTCGAGCGCATCATCCGGTTGCGGCTGTTTCGTCACTGGTTTGCCTGATTTTGAAACGATTAGCTCGTCATTCGCCCCACGCGATTGTGTATCCGGCTGTGGTGGATTCCATGGAGCCTCAAGTTACATTTTCAGCGCTTCAGGAAGAGAAAGGAGCTGCCAGCAACAGTTTTGCTGCTGTTTTAAACGAGTTACAGCAAGTGTCCGCTGGGCAAGTAGAAGGCGTACGTTTACTCATTTCGGAGCTTCGGCGGATTTCGATTTTGTGGGATGAAGCCTGGATCAGTACGTTGATGAAGCTTTCAACAGATGTTGATCGACGAACAGCTACGCTGGAAAAAGAGGCCTCCCGCGTGGACAGAAATGCGTCATTGTCCACTAAAGAAAAAGGTGAGCTAGCTCAGCGAAAACTGGTGGCCATTATGAAGCCAATCTTGGTTTCTGTTGAACGACTTTGGAGTGAAACGTGCGGTAGAATTGCGGAGCAGCATGCTGTGTCACCGCATGAACGCAGATTCTTGAAGGAGTACGGAAGTTCAATCGAGAAGGCGATGGAAATCTTTCGAGATTGCTGCAGCTCGGAGTTGCGATCGGGTCCAGCATCAGGCATCTCGAGCCCGAAAGAGCTCTGGCAACCGTTTGCTGAAATATTGAAAGCGCTACTCAACTCGACTGGTCGTAGAGATCAATTGCCGCTTCACGAGATTTCACCCTCTTTGGCCTCGACCTCTCGTCAGCTTGCGCTAACAAACATGCCCGGCGCGTTGTCTGGCAAGGATGTGGGTCAAATGGAGCCCATAACCATTCATCGTGTTGACTCGTCTGTAACGATACTGCGAACGAAAACCAAGCCGAAATCTTTGGAATTAATTGGATCTGACGGGAAAATCTACAAGTACTTGCTGAAGGCTCGAGAAGATTTGCGTTTGGATGAGCGCATCATGCAGTTTTTAAGAGTTACGAACGAGTTTTTACGCGCTGACAACGCTGCTGCTTCTCGAGATTTATCAGCTCAAAGCTACAGCGTCATACCTCTATCTCGAAACGCTGGCTTAATCCAGATGGTCCCGGACGTGGTCCCACTTTTCCAAGTGTACACATCTCGAAACGAGCAACAAACAAGCCCCACTGGTCGAGTACCTCAAGATTCAGCAGCATCGGCATCTTTGGCACAGCAACAACCACCTCCGCCTACAGCACAATTTTATGCGAAGCTGAAGCAACATGGAATTTCGAATGTGGTGCCAAATCACCGTGCTCAGTGGCCGGTCCCTGTGCTAAAGCAGGTTTACCAGGAACTTGTTACTCAGCGTCCGCGTAATGTTCTGCAGCTGGAGATTCTTGCTCGAAGTGAAGACTTGCGTGAAAGCTGGGTGAAAAGCATGCGATTAAGCAAGTCGGTGGCGGTGATGTCCGTCTTAGGCTACATTGTTGGGCTCGGTGACCGGCACCTTGACAACATTTTGTTATGCGTTAAAAGTGGAGATATTGTTCACATCGACCACAACATTTGTTTCGACAAGGGGCGCAGGCTCAAGGTACCTGAAGTTGTTCCATTCCGTCTGACACCAATGCTGCAAGATGCTCTCGGATTCACCGGTGTTGAGGGAAGGTTCCGTGTAGCATTTGAGACGACTTTACGCGTTGTTCGCTCTGATGATGTTCGCGAAGCGTTGCTTACGCTGTTTGAGGCGTTTGTCTATAGTCCACTCGTCGACTGGATTGCCGACGATAAACGACAGGGTCGGTCGGGAGATTTGAAGGCGCGTTTGGAAGTGAACGTGAACCTTTCCCTGTTTTTATCGAGAGCTGAAGAGCGCCGCCAAGATACGGTTTCTTTCGGGCGCCAGTACGAGCAATTGGCTGACGTCTTCTCCCGTATTTTCAAAGGAGCGAAGGTGTCGTTTGTGAGACTGCTTGAGCAACGGGAGCAAATGCGTAGTCTGGAAGCTGAAGAACAGGAACTATTGAAGGCCGTCACGAGTAGTGAAACTGAGCTCATGGCATCCCAAGCTACACTGCAGGCTAAACTGGCTGAAGTACAACAGATTTCTACCCAAGCCGAGGAAGTCGTTGGGAAGCTTAGCGTGTTCGCAAAGGAGTGCTGGGGAAGACACCAACAAATCGAAGTTTGGCGGCAGAAAAGCGTTAATTTTGCCGAAACAGGCCCAGAGGCCCGATTGCACGCTGTAGTGATGGCAGCCGAGTCAGCCTCGTTTCAGAAAGTCCATGCTACAATTTGCAATGTTTTGGAACGGTCAAGATTTGCTGGCCAGCAGACAGAACTGCTAGCCGCGTTGGAATCGAGATCTCGATCTGTCGATACTGATGTAGTACGTCTGCGCGTCGAGATTGAAAGGCTTGCGGCTTGTTTGATCCCCTACCTATCCGCTTACAGCCACTGGCGCAAGGAATTGGATGCGTACCTGGACACAGAGCTGAAGGTAGCAGGAAAAGATGTGTACTTTACGTGGTGGAGTCGCTGTACGCAGTGTTTGCGTAGTTTGGAGACAGGGAGAGCTGAGGACAGCGTCGATACTACCGCGGGTTGCATGGCTCCTTCTGATGAAAACATCGCTGAATCAGCAATGACTTTAAAGAGGCTGAACGAATTACGTTCAGAAAACGGTTTGCATGATGACGACTCCGTCCTCACCAGCGAGTCAGAGAGCTCGTACTTCGCGAAGATTGACAAGTTGCTTCACGATATTTCGAGTTCTCTTTCTGTGCTCAAGCTTTCCAATGCCCAAGGTCAACGACTTTTGAAGCTAGCTGGCGCGTCGTGGATGGTTAAAGCGATGGATAAGTTGAATGGTGCTAAAAGCCCCACGTCCAGTGAAGCAAGTACCTTCAGTACTGTTCTGAAGGAAAGTCTTACTTTCCAGCTCGTTGTAGCAATGTCTCACGCGTCCATGACGCTGCTCGAGCTAGTGTCAACACCTAAGGGATCGATGAAGAGACTTCGAGCTAATGAGCTGATGGTTGGTTATCAAGCCCAAAAGGAATCGAACCAAGAAACTAGCAGGGGGTTGGGTCTACTCGTTGATATTCTCCAGGCCATGGAGTTGTTTTCTACGTCGTTCCACGAAGAGTTCGTGCTCAATCTGCATGGGTGCCAGAATGCTGGAGATTATGAGAAGGGCCTATTAAGCATGATCGAAGGAAAACTCGCTACAGCAGCTGGAGTGCTCGAAGTGATGGACGTGATATCTTCTGCAACAAGTTGCGGCAGCTCGATATTGGGAGCATCGCTTTCAGCATGCCCCGCTACACTCAACGTTTTCAGAGCTGCTGTTAACATCATTCAGACAACTTCGTCGTATGTGGAGGTATTGCGCCACACTGCGGTGGTGGCCGACAAGAGGGCTGAAGAGATGAAGAATTCCGCTCGAAGTAGTTGGATCCAATTGACTGTCGGACTCATTAGGCGATTTACGTTCGGTAAAGAAGACCGATCACAAGGTGCGACTGGGGATGAAGTGACCGAAATGTGGGCTGCTCATGTGAGGAGCTTTATTTCTGACTGTTTAGCGGTATTGCTGGAGCATCAACTATCTAACATGATTTCTCACGACTGGAAGTTCGACTTTACGGCGCTTCCAGGCGACTCCGATACTGATGATAATGGACTGGGATCGCTCCGCAAGAAGTGGGGAGCGTTTTTCAGCGCACAAATCCCCGGCGTTTTGCCCTCTAGTTTGGTAAGCCTGCCCGGTGGAACTCCGGAAACGCAGACAGATGATGTTTGCAACGCAGTTATGGAGCTGATGAATACGTGCGAAACGTGGTGGAGTCAGAAGTGGAGAGTTACTCAATCGCAATCGTGGGCTGAGACGGTTTCTTCCCTCCGGGAACGGCATCAACGACGTCTCCGATACGCTGCATGGTTGGCGACACAACCGATAGAGCAGACACAATTGGCTGAAGTCCCGAGTCTTACGCGAATCCAACTGCTCACTGTTCTGTCGTCACAAGTGCCATATCTCAATACGCTACTTACACAGCAAGCTATCACCGAAGCGACCGTGTTGGAATTGGCCCAGCAGTTGGACTATTTTGCCGCGAGTCTCGACGATGCCTCCAGCAATGAGCACTCCGCGAACGAGAGCTTGCATGTCTGTGTCCAGAGCTGCTACGGTAGAGTGGCTGCCCTCTTTGAGTATGGGCGAACTCTGGCAGATCTTGTACAAGGTATCAGTGTGATCGAGACTTCAACCGGCGAGCATATCCCAGAAACGGGGAAGATCGAACTTGAGGTTGATATTGTCGGGAAAAGCCTCCTCCACTCAGCATGTAAGCCCAGTTCGGATCTGCTGACGTCGAAAGAGGCGCTGAATGAGATGAACGCCCATGTTAATGCACTTGAAGACGAAACGAAGCGTAGGCAAGCGGGCTACGAGGCCCTAGTGACGAGAAAGCGTGCCCTCGAAGTCGAATTTTTCGGTGTCTGCGGAGAAAATAAGGACGCTGTGATGGAGACTGCGCACGTGTTAAGCAAACACGTAAAGGAGCTGCGGCACCTACTCAAGCGCTTTGATAAGTTTAAGACGCCGTCAAAGCAAAACCAAGTGCCTTCACCGATGGATCCGCGCCGCTCACGACAACTGCAGTCTGATCAACGTGACCCACAACCTTTGCCTGGAGCGACAGGCTTCTGCTTCATGGAGAATGATCGGCTTGTGAAGATTTTACTTCGCAGCATTCGTTCTGTGGACCATCTACAGCTACTAGAGGGCGTTTTGGAAAAACATGGGGAAGCGTGCACTGCCTTACGGGAAGCAATCACTCAGATTGACCAAACCTTGCGTGAGTATGAGTCTAAGGCTGACCCGTTGTTGACTGCTAGCGGCCACGATCCTCAAGATCACTCTCGAGCTTCTCTGCTACTCAAGCTGATACTTGATCTGGTCGAGGCACTACGTGTAGTTGAGACCGATCCATGTGCTGGATCCCCGGGGCCTGTAGCAGCGGACGACACCTCAGCACCCCTTCTCGTTGAGGCTCGAGACCTCGTGCGTGGGTGTGTGAAGATGTTTTTCGAAGCCACAGAAATGGCTGATCGGCTCTCTAGCGCAGAAGACGAGATTACTAGAGCAAGTGCGATCGCTTCACTACCAGAGGATGAAGTGGAGGAAGAGCAGAACGAGGCTGCAGAGGATTCTACCCCGCTCGCTTTGGAGTCAGGCAACAATGTTGCAGTTCCTGTCAGTGGTGACAGCGGTAGCAGCGCACATGACACGACCGCTAGCACTCCTCCAAGTGTAGAGGAGAAGAGTCAATACGGCCTCCAAGTGCTGAAGCGTATTGAGGAAAAGTTGTCAGGCACCGTGACGGAAATGGCCCAGGCTCCCCCAGTGCTGACTGTCGAGCAACAAGCGTCGTGGCTTATCGACGAGGCCACGAAAACAGACAACCTGTGTGTCATGTACGAAGGCTGGACGCCGTGGATTTAGGGGAACCCTGAACTGAAGTACTTGCGACTTCGAGCATGTTTTTAGGTTAACGCTCCTAATTACCACCAATAAAAGGGCTTCCAGCAAAATGTTTCACGTATGTACTCTTTCAGATGGCTACACTAGATCTTTCGGCAAGTTCTAGTGTAGCCATCAATTGTTTATTTGGTGTTCTTCACACCAAACTTACCGATCTTCCCCACGCGCTGCACACGTGGAAGGCCAAAGCGTCAGCAGCTCTGCGCGCGATTGAACGTTCGTGCGAGTGATGCAGCCCAACTACCCGCAGCGTGGCTTCGGCGGCCAGGCGCCGCCCCAGCAGCAGCAGCAGCAGCAGCAGCAGGCGCCTCGCAGCGGCGGTGGCTTCGCGCCCCCCAACGCTGGTGCGTCCTTCCTCTGCGTGTGTGTGTATCCATCTTTCGCACCTTGGAGCTAACCCCGTGGTGTTATGGCTTCACCAGGCTACGGCAACATGCCGTTCAACCAGCAACAGCAGCAGCAACAACAGCAGCCCATGTCCCAGCCCAGTGCCGGCAACTTCCCGGGCCGCCCAGGCTTCCCCGGCGCGCAGCAGCCTCAGGCGCCGCACTCGGGCTTCGGCGGCCGCCCGGGCTTCCCTGGCCAGCCCGGCCCGCCGGCCCCAAGCTCCCAAGGCTCCTTCCGCCCTGGTCAACAGCCTGGACCACCGGCCCCGGGCTCGCAGGGATCCCTGCGCCCTGGCCAGCAGGTTGGCCCTCCGATGCAGGGCCCGCCCTCTTCGGGCGGCAACAGTGGGGTGCCTCAAGTGAACAGGGGCCCGCCCGGTGCGGCTCCAGGACGCGGTGGATTCCCCGGCCAGGCGCCGCCGGCACCGGGTGGCTTTAACAATGCGCCGCCTGCAGCGGGCCCGCCGTCGTTCCAGTCTGGCCCGCAGGGGCCACCTAGGCAGCACTTTCAGCAGGCACCCCCACCCCAAGGACAGCAGTTTGGCAACGCGCCGCCTCCTCAGGGAAGTCGGCCTGGCCCGCCGCCGCAGTTCGGCGGCCAACAGCAGGGCCCGCCCCCTCCGCAGTTTAATGGCCAGCAACAGGGACCGCCGCCGCCGCAGGGAGGAGCGGCGCCGTACCTCCAGCCGAACAGGAATGCCGGGCCGTACCCCGGACCTCCTGGCCCTGGTGCGCAGCCCTACGGTGCTCCTGGCGCCCCCGGGGCCTATGGCCAGCCTCAACAAGGATACCCTGGCCCGCAGCAGCAACAGCAACAGGCTTCCCAGGCGCCGAAGCAGCGTATTGACCCGACGCAGATCCCGCGCCCTGTCGTGTCGGCCGAGCGAGTGCAGTATGTGGCCCGCGGACACACGGTGACGATGCCGCCGGCGGCGTCCAGCGACTACGTCTGCGTGGACGAAGGCTGCTGCAATCCGCGCTTCATTCGCCCGACGCTGAACCACGTGCCTGCAACGAAGGACCTGCTGAAGCAGTGTGGCCTGCCCCTGGCTGCGGTTATCTGCCCGCTTGCCGACCTGCAAGAGGACGAGCTGCCCATCCCGCTGGTGGACTTTGGCCCCAGCGGTCCGCTGCGATGCACGCGCTGTGCTGCTTACGTGAACTCCTTCACCAAGTTTATCCAGGGCGGTCGCAAGTTTGTCTGCAACATTTGCCAGCTCCACAACGAGACCCCGCGCGACTACTACTGCAGCGTGGACCAGTACGGCAAGCGCCGCGATATTCAGGAGCGTGCGGAGCTGTCGCGTGGCTCGGTGGAGTACGTTGTGCCCGCAGCCTACACGATTCGTCCGCCGCAGGAGCCCATTCTGGTGTTCGTTCTCGACGTGTCGCTCTTTTCGTTCCAGACGGGGCTAGCTACGAGTGCGCTGCAAACGATCCAGTACCTCCTGCCGTCGATGGCGCAAAACAAGCGCAAGAAGGTGGGTATTGTGACCTTCGACACGGCCGTGCACTACTACCGCATGGACAATGGTTCGTCTTCTATCTCGATGAACATTTGCCCCGACGTTGATGACCCGGTCGCGCCGCTGCCTCCCAGTAGCTGGCTTGTTTCCATGGACGATCCGGCCGCCGCTGAAAAAATTACAGAGCTGTCGGAGGTCATTACCCGCTCATTCGAGAACACTACTAAAAACCAGGCGGTGTCGGGTGCAGCGCTATGGAGTGTGGCGGACGCTCTTTCCGTATCAGGTGGACGAGTTGTGTTGCTCCACGCTGGGGCTCCTCGCGTGGGTGTTGGCAGGGTGAAGCGTGAAGAAGTGAGTGGTGCTTACGGTACGACGAAGGAGGTGGATCTGTACACTCCGGAGGATAACAACGCCTACGAGGCCTTGGCTCGCCAGTGCGCTGAGAACCACATTTCCGTTGACGTGTTCTCGGTCGACAACACGTTCGCGTCGCTGGCTGATGTGGGCCGTGTGTGCGAGTTGACTGGTGGCCGAGTGCAGTACATGCCCCAGTTCGAGAAGGAGCAGTCCAGCAATCGTCATCATCTTACGAGCATGCTCCAGCGGCTCGTGGACCGTGACTGCGGATACGAGGCCGTGCTCAAGGTGCGATGCAGCGCCGGCCTGCGGGTCGAGCACTCTTACGGAAACTTTTTCAACGCGCGCGGTGGCAACGCTTTTACGACAGATGAAATGGAGTTTGCTGTGATTGACCAGGACCGTTCGATGTGCGTGACGTTCGCGTACGACGAACCTCTTGCGGAGGGCACGGACGCGTACATTCAGGCAGCGTTGTTGTATACACGTAGTGATGGATTGCGCTGTGTGCGCGTGCATAACCTCGCGCTGCAGGTGGAGCCATTACTATCAAATGTCTTCCGCTTCGCTGACCTCGATGCCACTTGCTCCGTGTGGCAGCGCTCGGCAGCGCGCCAGTTCGTGGACAAACAACTGATGCGTGCGACTCCTATGGCCGTCAAGGAATCGCTGGTTGACCAGTGTGTGACTGTGCTATTCAACTACCGCAAATACTGCGCATCATCTTCGTCCTCCGGACAACTCATCTTGCCCGAGTCGCTCAAGTTGTTGCCGCTGTACACACTCGCAACGCTCAAGAGCCGAGCACTACGTGGAAACCTCGTTGGGAACCCTCCACGCGGCTTCATTGATGTGCGTGCGGACGAGCGCGTGATGATGATGGGCCTGCTGAACAGTCTCCCTGTGGAGTTTTGCGTATCGGCTGTCTACCCCAAGCTGTACAGCGTGCACGACTTGGCGGAAGACTGCTGTACACTGGACGAGGACGGCAAGTTTATTCTCCCACCGCAGCTCCCGCCTACTGCTGAGAAGCTTGACGAGGAGGGCATTTTCCTGTTGCATTCTGCAATGTGCTGCTACATCTACATCGGTCCCAAGGCCTCGCCTGAGTTGCTGCTCGAGCTCTTCGGCGTGGACCACGCCGACACAGCCGAGCAGACACTAACGCTGTTCGAGACGCTCGACAACGAGCCTCCTGAGGGCGATGGCGATGGAATGAGTGCTCGCGAACGACTGCGCTCGCTGGTGGAGTACCTGAACTCTACCATCCCGATCTCCCAGCCGCTGGAGATTTTAAGTAAGAACGACTGGCGCGCTAACCGCTTCATGAGTGCACTGGTAGAGGATCGCACACGCAACGACGTGTCCTACGTAGAGTTTCTGGTGCAGGTGCACAAGAAGATTCAGTACAAGTTCCACTAGATCGGAGAAGGAGAAGAAATGGTGTGCGCTGACGGAAACTCGGGATGGAAGACGAGGGAAGCTTTGACATCAAGAAGGCGAAAGGAGTTAGTACCACGAACGAGCGCTTGAAAAAGGCTGCTCACGTTTTGTCTTTCTTGTTCATCGAATAAATGCGTTTTTGTCAGCATTGTGGGAGCTTTTCATTCATTCACATGGGGGGTATGCGGCGTCCAAAGTGAACGAGGAAGCCCTGGCTTGCCGGCGATGCTGGTACTAACTTGGCCTTGGAGTAAGTCTAACAAGCCCGGCCGCTGTGTCAGGCGCGCTTCCGCGGAGGCAACTGTGCTCACCGACTCACGACATTCATGTCATGTCTTTAGGTCAATATGCTTGGTAAAATCCTTCAGTACTTGGAAGTTCCAAGTTGGTACCCCCTACTGTATTTGTCCAGCTTGTTCTCTCGCTGGTCCTTCAGCTCGTAGTTTTACCCGTTGTATTTTACTTAATTTTGTATAGTAAACGAGCAAGCCTTGCGTTAGTTTCCCTTGGACCTTCGCCATGCTCGGGCGCAACATGCGTTAGTTTCCCTTGGACTTTCGCCATGCTCGGGCGCAACATCGGATCTTGTCGACTATTTCACGGAATCTACGCTCCTGAAAAAGGTGCTGCCCCATTTCATCGGCGATCGATGCTTATCGTTGTTGATGCCGGCATCTTCAGAGTTAAAAATCTTTTATCGATAGTGAATTCCGAAGTAGGAACGGACCACAGCTAATTTCATGTACAGTGACACCTCCCTAAATGAACCACTCTAACTGACGACTGCAAACGGGATTATATGGATTTCACTATAGATGTTCTATAACTGATCAAAAACCTCTTTATTCTCTAAATGGTCGTCATTGTTGGCGCCTCAACCCTCTAAATGGACGCCGTAGTAATAGATCCAAACTCATATATTTTTTCTCAATCACTTGCCGGCCTCCTCCCACGTATGCCATTGCTACTACTACTCCCGCCACAACAAATCGAGCGAAGAGAGAAATTTTATTTGGGATGCTAAGTTGGAACAAAGAGTTTGCAGTAACTGCAAGCTTGTAAATACTGATAAATAAGCTAGCCACAGTATTTTACAATCAGCGCAGCGTACATATATATTTTACGAAAAACAAAAATATTATGATGTCGAGACAACTAGGGGCTATGCAGTAGATTTCAAGCAAAAGATAAAACTGCAGACATGGTGGCAGGATATCGGGACAACAAATATTCCTATAACCTCACTAAATTGAAACTCACGTACAACCTGAGGGGATGCGACTCTGCTAATACCAATGATAAGAAGGAGTAGGAACAGACAATACCGCGCCTACCGTTATTGGTTGAGTTCTGATTGTGTGAAGACGAAACAAAACAAGAGTACAAAAATGCTGGAGGGGTGCCAGGTAAAGAAAGCCCTTGTATTGTGCACCTAACATATGAAAATGTAGCCATTAGAAGTGTAGCCATTTCTTTATCTGATCAATTCCTTAACTGAAACAGCGTATTAGACCGAGCGAACTGGGTGTCATTTATAGAGGTGTGACTGTACCGTCGACGTTCATATTCCATCAACATTTTCCCTTAACAGAGCATCTTGCGATCTTAAAACATCGACTCGCGTTACAGCACCTGCACAACATTTGCCTAAAGCGCCTTTAAGCCCTTCGGCGCCTTTAAGCCAAAAAGAGGGGGTGAATCTGGGCTGCTGCAGTGTACTGGAGCAGATCCCCGCAATTAGAAAACTAGCACCGAGTTGCGGCAACGGGTCCATCCGCTAGAATGCCTGGTGCAGGACCTACCTCCGCAAAATCGCGCAGACCTGCTTTACGAGCACTCCGCGCAGATTAGCTTGCTGTGGCAACGTGTACTCACGACAGCTCACAACACGACCAAATGAGCCCATGACACCCGTCCCGCTGCTATCCGTCAATACAAATCCTTCATTATTCTAATCTGTTGCTTCTGAACACCGATTTTGCACAGATTGGATGGGCGCTTTAAAGTATGAGGAGGGATGACCTCCAGGCCTGATGGCTTTGGAAATGGGCACCCCGAAAGAGTCCCTGAGGAGGCGGGGGTCCTGCTAAGTGCCTACTTACACTCCGCCGATGCAAGCTAGTGCGTTCGATAGCTCTAACATACCTCTATGAAGTAGGCAGTACCAAACGTTTGTCCGGATGCAGGCTTACGTGCTGCATAGAGTCAAAGTTAGCACCCGTTTCGGACTTTGGAAAGCTGAGGCAACAATCTATATATTCCCCTCCTACCTGAAAACCAGCTGCTTTACTAATGGCGCCCAAGCCTTGGGCGCCATGCCTTGGACCAAGGCGCCATTAACGGTGCTGTTGTGCTGTCGCATTAAAGGTGCTCTAACCACCTCGTAAAACATCGAGCTCTGAATACCAGAGATCTATCGGTAAGTAAAAAGCAAAAAGTCATGACTCGGTCATGACACAGTGACCTGATATCCGGGGATAACAGCCTCTTTTTGGCGTGTTACCTCGAGATACCAGTTGGTGGGTCATGACCCAAATACTACGATTTGATTGGCAGTATTAATTACAAATTTGGGGCGAACCTCCATTAACACATCTCAAGGTTGCCATTGCCCGTCGCTCGTACCCCGTGCCGTCGGGCATCTTGGCGCTCGAGTGCCCGCGTCTACCAACCCTGCCTGCCGAGCACCCTGCCCGCCGAGCACGCGTCGGTACGTACTGTAGGTCGTCATATACATGGTCATCGTACACACGACGCCGCTAATTGTGACTCTGTGGTGGTGGCTCTAGTAGCAGGTCATGCACATCTAGGGCAGCTACTACGATGTCCTGGAGCACTACAACGCCTACAGGGTGACGCTGAGCCTCCTCGTCAGCATGACGGTACCTTTGTGAGGATCCCCTTCTTCCTGTTGCTCAAGACGTGCTGTGCGCAGCGGCACGATCTGGGTATGGCCATCGAGCACTGCAGCTCTGTTGGCATCTTCATATCCGACCAGTCGAGCAACCGCACTAAGAGCTACAAGACGCGTGTTGAAGGCAGCGATATGTGCGCGCTCATCAACGCTTCCTCCTACGCTACGTCTAGCGCCACCGAGACGTACGATGAGAACGCGAACGGGCCGTACCTGCGCTTCCTGGGCTTTGAATCGCCATCGTGACCATCATTCAGGAGCTAGTGCGCAGCCCCATCGAGGCCGTAGTCACTGGCCTTGTTAGGTAAGCACGCTTTCATATCGGGACTGAAACGAGTTATGGCAACTAATTTAATGATGTAAATGTTGGTATTGCAGTTCAGATAATGATGTCAATTAGACTGTCGAATGCATTACGCTGCTAATGTAAGTCATCGTGCTGTTTGCTGCGAAGCCATTTTGAATAACTGTCGATGCTCTTGTTCCCCCTCTCAGTATCAGCTCTTTCAATCGCATCGTCGATAGAGAGACCGCCATTCACGAAGCTACGTACCGGTACGTGATTGATGCCACATCGACGCCTGGAAAAGAATTTCGCTTCTTTTGATGACGCTCTCCATTTTGTGCCAAATGTTTCCTCCAGGTACTCGATCGAAGGCTGACTAGCCAGGCCATGGTGCCACTCTGCCCAAACCTCTCGTACGGTTGAAACTCGTCGGCTCATGTTGTACTGGGGAACTGTGACTGGTTCTAACTGAGGTGAATGTTGCTGTAGCGTTGCGTTTACCGAGGTTGACACAGGAGTGCTGTCACGTAGAGGAAGCTGGCTTGGATTAGCTCCAGCTGCGTTGTTAGATATGGGAAGAAGTCGGTAAAGGACGTCACCGTGGAGAAATGAAGCAAGCCGATATTGGGATTGCTTCACCATGTCAACGAGAGTCAAGTGCTGAGATTCTAACCGCTGCATAGTTGCTGCGTGCTAATTTGTTGCGACAGGACTGGCATGGCAAGCTGAAGCTGCATTTCCACCGGGTGCTGCGTCGTCTGAGCGCTAGCAAGTGCTTGAGCGCGGAATTGTTGAAACGGTCCACCGAAGATCGGATGGCGGCGAAGTCGAGCAGGAAGGACGTCAAATAAAATGCAGCGTCTTGAAGCAACACGGTGCGTAAGAATTCCAACAATTCAATGAACCCTCGAGCGGCGAGGTTGCATTCCCACTCACTATCTAATAGCTTCTGTTTGTAACTTTCAAGCCCAGGGAAAATCTGTTGCTTGAGTTCATTGGGTGGGTCCACAATGGCACGTTCCAAATAATAAAGACGTGCGCGCGGGGGGTGTCATGACAGAGCACGAATCGCTTCTCGCGCCAGAGGAGCGGAATATACTGCTTCCATGGTGTCAAGGCTCCATCGGCCATGTCGGCGACTTTGGGAGATGTCGACATCAGCGCCTTCCAGTTGTCGTACGCCCTGTTGGCGGTTGATATGAACCTTTTATTGAACGTAAGGCCGAGATGATCAAAAACAGCCTCGTAGCTTTTCTTGTCAGTGTTGCAGGATATAGCTTTATTTCGATCTCGGCCACTTAGGAACTTGATGTCATACCAGTTCTCCGATCTCCGAAAGGAGGGAAATGATTCACTATTGAGATGAAAGCGCTCAAACAAGTAGATAGCAACCGCTCCAACAGGGCATAAATGAACAGCCTTATTGCGCATGAAGCCGACATGCTGAAGTTTTCCAAACGTATTCGTTTTCCCATGTTGGATTAGCAGGACCAACGCAATGCACGGCTGAAAACCCTCCTTGTCAAGTTCCTGGGAAAACATATCAGCCAGCTTGTAACGGGGGTACGTGGAATAGTGACCCTGTCACTATTCCGGGATGGCTACATCGGTCACTCCCCTGGATAGTGACCCAAGTGGCCTCAGAGCCAACAGATACATTTTGTATGACACAAACTATAGGGAACTTAGGATTTGTATGCAGGCCAAATCTGTACCAACCTATAAATACATTCAGTCTTAGATCTACCGCTTTTCATGTCAAGTCGTCCCCTTCAGACC